ATAATTCTGTTCCAGAAGTTTCTATTGGACTTCCTTTTTAACTTCGTAAACTTCACATGTCCTTATTTTCTTTAATAAATGGAGATTACCAAGTGGCTAAAAGCATGAGCTCTGATGTCTGCCTGGGGTTGAATCTTTGCTCTTGCTCTTGCCAGTTTGAATGACACTGGTTAAATCTCTTTCTATGAAATGTGGATGATAACTACTGCTATAGGTCATATAAACATTGCCAACACACATGGTTAGTGCTGTCTCACATAAATACAAGCTATTACAATTAACACTTCACTTCCTAGAAGGTGTTTTTTACAGTTTTATCACTGGGGTCATCTCATTTGCTCTTCTTAATACACCTTAATTATATAAATTAGGTTTAAGAAGTTAATACATTTTGGATAACACATACTTACAATTTATTCATATTTTAAATTTAATAGTCTTTATTGATAATCTCCTCCAGAGAGCTAGAAAAGGATCCTTGAGCTGGAAGAGGGGTTGGTTCTTGCAGAGTGGTAAAAGTTGGTAGCAAAGGAGGGGATCAGGGCTGGGGCTGTAACTCAGTGGCAGAGCACTTGCCTAGCATGTGTGAAGCACTGGGTTCCATCCTCAGCACCACATAAACAAATAAAGGCATTCTGTCCATAACCAACTACAAAAAAATTTGCGGGGAGTTAGAGTCCAGGGATGATGAGTCATTGTAGACAAATACTGACACTATTGTTTTAGATGTTCAGATTTTGCAACATTTTCCTGGGCATGGCAAATTCCCTTTCCTAATGATGGAAAGCCACATTCTTACTATTGAGACTAATATTGTGAGATGTTTACTTTATCCATCCCCTTGTACCTTTAAGGCTGAGATGGCTGGAAAACAGTTTGATCCTCCACACTGGCTGAACTGCTATCTTGGTGGGTTTTGTGAGAGTAGACACTGGTCAAGAAAGTAGTATTCTGAGAACTGCAATCAATTGTGGAAAGACTTAGATGAGTATCCTCTAAATCCCTAATTCCTTGTTATCTTGGTGATGACCCCTTAGTAACCTCACTGAAAGGAGTTGCCTTGGAGAAAAGCCCACATGCCCTATATGTACAATCCCTTATTGTCTCAAAGACACAACAAAGATGCTGGAGAAATAGCTCAGTTGGTAGAGTACTTGCCTCACATGCACAAAACCCTGGGTTCAATCCCCAGCACCACACACACACACACAAAGACACAACACAGCTTGAATCTGATTTGAAAACTTGAGTGTGTGTTGCTGGGGATTGAGCCCAGGGCCTTGTGCATGCAAGGGAAGCCCTCTACCAACTGAGCTATATTCCCAGTCCCCTTGATCATATTGATGATATGTAGAATAACTGTGGAAATAGATTTTGAGTATATAAGGCCTTACTTTAAGGCAAGAACATGATTTTAAATTGCACCAAATTATCAATATTAGGGTACTGCTGTGGCTTGAATGTTTTCCCCCAAAATTCCTGTTGAGAACTCCCCAGAGTTCTGCCAATGGTATTTGGAGGGGAGAACTTTTAGAGGTGACTAGATCATGGGAGCTCTGCCAGCAGGGATGGACTCACTCATGGATTGAATTATTGAGTTATTGAGGGAATGGCTTTGTTACGTAAGTGAGCTCTCTGGCACACTTGCTGTCCCTCATCATGCTGCCTTCTGCCACATTTTGATGCAGAAGCAAGCTCTCACCAGATGCCAAGATGCTGGCACCATGCTCTTAGACTAGCCAGCCTCCAGAATCACAAGTTGAATATATCTCCATTCTTTAAAAATTACCCACCTGTAGTACTGTTAGAGCACCAGAAAACATACTAAGACAAGTACACCTATAGTAGAGATTCTGGCTTAGTTTGTGAACCTGAACAAATTGGAGTGGTTCTGATCACTTGATTGAAGGACATTTGATTCAGCAATGGCTCATCTAAATTGGAAGTGAAATGCTAGAAATTCATTGATACAATGAAGGAAATGAAAGACACACTATGTGGAGAAGATTTAATATATGTGATCCTTTAGCTATTTTTCCCTTATCAGAAGTCTAGCCAATTGATGCATAAGTAAGGGTCTCACCAGATGCTGAGATGCTGGCACCATGCTTAGACTAGCCAATTGATGGATAACTCTTTACAAAGGCATTAAGAAAAAGCACTGGTGAACAAAGCACCTGCATTCTAGAAAAGATTTAGAGTATGTCTGTAAGCTAGGGCAGTGGGAGATGCTTCAGTTAAAATGGACTCCCTGAGTCAATGTGCTTTGTCAAGATTAATGTGTCTTGAAACAAATTATAGTCATTCATTGCTTGGCAATGAAGATGCATTCTGGGAAGTGTGTTAGGTGATTTCTAGGTGTTGCAAACATCAGAGAATGTACTTACACAAACTGAGATAGTATATACTAAGTTGATAATTTGATGCAGCTTCTTGTTGCAATCAAGCACAGTAAACACAAGGTCTACAAAGCTGCTGCTGGCATAACATGGCATACTGTTTTACAGTGAATTTTTTTTTTTAATAAGAAGTATACTCTAAAACAATGATTCAGAGTAAATACATAAAGCAGTAACACAGTCTTTGATGATCATTATATCAAGTATTATACTTTACACAATTATATGTGCTCTATTTTTATATGACTGGCAGCGCAGGTTTGTTTACATCAGCATCACCACAAACATGTATGTGCTGTGCTATGTTACACTAGCTATGATATTACTAGGCAAGAGGAATTTTTCAGCTCCATTACATTATAGAACCATCACTGCATACAGTCCATTGTTGACTGAAACATCATTATGTGGCACATGACCATAGTTCACTTAACTGCTAGACTAGAAAAGTGGGAAAGTTACTATAATAGGCAGCAGGACTCACAGGACAATCAGTAGAGTCTAACACAAAGTTTGGCCTAGGATAATCGATCAATTGATGTACAGAATCAAAATAGACTCCATGGTCCTATTTATGTAATTAAAAACCACAGGTCTGATGTGAGCCACTCTAGTACTCATCCAATATTCAGGTCTGATTTGTTTCACATTCCTGGATCCCTGAAAGGACCCTGAATAATATCACAAGTATGTAATATGTATTTATCTCTTAATCTTCTCCAAAGTAACCCTGTGGCCCTTTACTAGAGTAATTATGCAATGCAGAAATTCTTAGACCTTGTGGGATCACTTCTTGAGTTAATTCTAATTTCTGTGCACCAGAACACCATACATCTATTCAGAGTAGAGCCTATTGGAAGTAAGCATGGTAAAAGGAGCTTTGACAAGTTCACCACAATAAATCCCAAACCATCCTTTGGTTACTTTTTCCATTTCCTGAGTACTAAGATAAGCAACTAACAGTTAACACACACTAGTTTCCTAAAACAAGTTTCTTAATTTTTTTTTCCCCCAGTGCTGTGGATTGAACCCACCAGGGATTCATAAGTTCTGGGCAAATACTCTATCACTGAACTACAACCCAGCCCTCTTTTCTTAAATTTTAATGATGGGATACAATTGATGTCACTTTACAATGCTGTCAACATTGGAAGTGTCTCAAATTACTACTGTTGTTAAGGGAATAAGGTTGCTAATGTTAGAACTTGGTGGAATTTTTAAGTATTTCCTTTTCAGGTTGATGTAGTACCTTATCAGTTTCAAACTACTTTCTATTAAACATTTTTACTGGGGGAAAATGTGCATTTATTATGTGAAGCTAATACACTATATGTGTATTTTAGATAATACTAAGTTCCATATTTCTATATCAGATAAAGCTTCTTGCATAAAACCCAACTCAGCATCAACCCAACTCAGTATGTCATTCTGAGACACATTTAGCAAAATCTGAGATATTCAATATAACATGTACTAAATCAGATAATTAAAAATGCTGGTTTGCTTCCTTTTTCTTTTTGTTCTTTTTCTGGTAATGGGGATTGAACCTAAGGAAACTTTTACCACTTACTGGGCTACATTCCCAGCCTTTTTTATTTTGAGACAGGGTCTTGCTAAATAGCCAAGGGCCTCAAATTTGTCATCCTCCTGCCTCAGCCTCCTAAGCTGCTGGGATTACAGGTATAAGCCACTGCACAATAATTTTACTTCTAATTAAACAAAAAAGAAGGAAACAATAACACTTATTTTTGTGTTCATTTGGAAGTTATATATTTTTTTTAACATTTTTTAGTTGTAGGTGGACACAATACATTTATTTATTTTTATGTGGTGCTGAGGATGGAACCCAGTGGCTATGTATGCATGCTAGGTGAGCGCTCTACTTCTGAGCCACAACCCCAGCCCTGTAAGTTACAATTTTAAGTGGCAAAAGGTGTGAAGTTTTTTTTTTATAGTCACTGTAAAAACTGTCATATTTCACCTATTTTTAAAATTTTACTGAAATATATGATTACATTAATTGGAGAAAAGGAAAAAAGACATTCTCTTGGAAATATACAAAGAGATTTTCCTTTATTTCACTGATGACTCTGCCCCAACCATAACTGATTTTCTGTATGGCATGGGAGAGTTTTTTTTTTTTTAATGTAGTATTTTTAAATCTTTCCGTTGTAACTGCTCCAATACCTTCATTTTAATGATTGCAAACAGTTCTTTCCCTTGAGAAATACTTACAGGTAAATATTAATTAAATCCTTAAAACAAAAACTTTGTATAGCAAACTCTTTCTTCATCTAAATTCAGAGGTGCTTTACCACTGAACTATATATCCCCAGCCCTTTTTACTTTTATTATTTTGTTTTTACCTTGATACAGGTTTTCATTAAGTTGCTGAGTTTGGCCTTGAACTTGTGATCCTCCTGCTGTAGCATCATAAATTGCTGGGATTTATAGGCATGTGCATCTGCACCAGGCTCATCTAAAATCTCATATTCAAATTAAGCAAGAATACTGATGGAAACAAAAATTTTTTTCCAACTAATGTTTATAGTTATGTTAATCTGGGCTACTTCTATGAAAAATGTACACATAAACATGCCCTTGAAAAAACCAACACCAAAACTAAAAAAGAGTTTTATTTCTGAATGGTAGTACAACTAAGTGAATGAATAGTATACATGCATTAACTGAGGTACTTGAGATCACCCAACTTGTTTAATTTATAACAAAATCTCTCCTCATTAGGATTTAGGTAGGTACTTATGTTAGAATGGTCTCAATTTATTTTAACAAAAATCTTTCTCTGAAGTTGAGTCATATAGATTATATCTTGTAAGAAAATGTATTTCTTTCTCAGGCAAGTATTTAATTTCTCCAAAGCTAGTAATTTAAAAGATGACTGTGTACAGAAGTATGATTTCTTAAAAATCGGAAAATATTTTAGTTTTATATTCATGAAATATATGAGAACCTCCTATTTTATTTAGGATTGTCTTAGTATATAAAAGGTTTCAGCTTCATTTTGTATACGATATGTGGAAAAATATAAACATGATAATCAGTTTAAGCAGAGATGTCATTTAAGAATGGTAAAGGATAAGCCAGGCATGGTGGTAGTCCCAGCTACTCAGGAGACTGAGGCAGGAGGATCACTTGAGCCCAGGGGTCCCCATCCAGCCTGGGCAACACAGCAAGACCCTTTCTCTTGCGGGGGTGGAGTAGGGGGAAGGAGCTGTGGTGTTTCTCAGTAGTAGAGTGTTTGTTTGGGGCCCTGGGTTTGAGCCTCAGCACAAAAAGGACAGCTTCTACAATGTACATAAATTCCCAATACTAGGTATGTAAACCTATTAAACAGTAGGGTGATCCTCAGTCAGAAACTTGGCTTTATATAAAATGTTTCCATTAATATAATTTTAAATTTTCTTTAAAATAAGAAAAACTTGAAAAGCAAGGCTCCCCAAACCAGCTAAGTTAGAAACTGCTAATTTTCTGAATGAAAGCAGCACTGTTTTTTATTTTTACACCACTGAATTGGAAGAATAGAAAAGAACTACAGTTGGTATAGAGAAATGTTAGATCATTTATACAGACACCTGAGAATAAACTCTACAGTTACCATCTTCTACAGCCACTTGCTTCTGCTTTGTCATTCACTGACATTTCAACCCTATCAGCTACTGTATCTTCAGATGCTGATTGGACATTGCCTTCTGACTGTCCTCCAGTGTAAGTGGGGGTGCTATATTTTAAAAGAATAGATTTAAACTGCATCAGAGGTGCATCTGTACGAACACCCATTGGGTCAAAGTGAGTTCGGCTGACTCGAAAGCCTGCTTGAGAAAGATAGCACAAAAACTTTTTCAACCTGCAATAAGGAAAAGAAAAAAGATAATTAGGTTTTTGTATTTTTATTTAGATCACAATGTTATTAAAATATGATATACACACTTTGCCATTCACTGGCTGTCTTACTTGGGCATGTTCATTCCTTTAATGCTGTGTCTGTGGATGTTATAATAAAAGGGAGGATGTTCAGTACTGACATCAGTCTTCTGCTTCTTGGCTAAATTTGTAATTATCTCATTACTTCTTCTCTTTCCTGAAACACACACAGTTAGCATTCTCTTAAAAAGATTATTTATTCTAGATATTTTATTTTATTAAAAAAATTTTTTTTTCATATTTATTTTTTAGTTTTAGGTGGACACAATATCTTTATTTTTATGTGGTGCTGAGGATCGAACCTAGTGCCCTGTGAGTGCCAGGCAAGAGTGCTACAGCTTTGAGCCACATCCCCACCCCCATAGGTATTTTATATATATATATATTTTTTGGTGCTGGGGATTTGAACCCAGGGCCTTGTACACATGAGGCAAGCACTCTACCAACTGAGCTATATACCCAGCCCTTCTAGGTATTTTAATTGTTTGTTACTCATGTAACTTACTTAGGACCCTAAGCAACTTAGAGTTGTATAATGAGACCCTATACAACTGTATTTTAAAGTATACACACATCCCAAAATAAGAGAAAGGCCATATAATAAATACTTATGGCTAGAAAGTAAGGTCTTCTGGTTAATCAAATGGAATTGCCATAAATCAAATATTCATGAGCAATTTTTAAAGTATTAGAATAAAGTTTAATCCGAATGCTATAACTTTATCATCTATAACTTAATTCTCTAGTTTTCCTGAAGGGATCACCACATTATTAAAGATGTGAACAAAATACCTTTTGAAATTTGGAATTGTATTAATGCTGATTAAAATAAGTTTTACTATAGTTTTGTTGTTGGCATTATATGGTAAAAGAAACTTTCTTCCCCAGTACTAGGAATTGAACCCAGGGGTGCTCTATGTCCTTATTGAGCTACATCCCCAGCCCCTTTTTGAGACAAGGTCTTGCTAAATTGCCTAGCCTGGCCTCATACTGCAATCCTCCTGTCCTCCTGCCTCAACCTCCAGAGTTGCTGGGACAGGTATATGACACTGCACTCAGCCACCAATGCAATCTCTCTTTCCACCTCTGCTATATTCCTTTCTGCATGGATACATATATGTGTACTTACATACATACCTTGTGCAATGTAATCTGTTGTGACATCATCTGTAGTTTTAATAAATACACCATTTTCTTCTAAAAAAAAAGTGAGAAAACAGTATTTTCCAGATGACATTAAACAACAATTCAAAGTTTAAATAAAAATTTATACCAAATTCCATCTTTGGGATGTGTGTGTGTGTTACTAGGGATTCAACCTAAGAATTTGTGTATGCTAGGAAAATACTGTACCACTGAGCTGCACTGTAGCCCTTCCATATTTTTTGGGTATTGGAGATTGAAAGCAGGGGTGCTTTACCACTGAGTTACACTCCCAGCCTGTTTTATTTTTTGAATCAGGATTTCACTAGGTTGCTTAGGGTCTTGCTAAGTTGCTAAGGCTGGTCTCGAACTTGTGATCTTCCTATCTTAAGTCTCCAGAGTTGCTGGGATTACAGGTGTGCACCACCATACTTGATCATCTACAGTGGGTTTTATATAGGATTTATATAGTGATTATATAGGAGACTCTGTGGCCATAACAGGTTGTAAGAATGACATATTTTAATGTTCTATAATAGCAACCTCTTTTCACGGCTTATAAGGTAGTATATTTAGTAGACCCACTCTAATATCAACAGCCAGCTATGACTACAGAAATCTATTTATATTGAGAAGAAAAAAAGTAACTTTACTGAGTGATAAGTACCTTCTATGTCTCAATGGACAGTACTAACATTTGTGGCCATACCATTCCTAGAATTACCTAAGGGTTCTTTCTAGAAAGTACATACAGGGTAATAAAATTTATATCTAAGTTTTCTTATTTATTTTAATCAAATAAAATTAAAAACAAAAGGGAGATTATTTTAATGAAATCACATTCATTTCAGGACCCTAAGAATAAATGTGAAGAAAACTATGTATTTTAAGGAAAATGGGAGCTAGGGATATTGGTTCAGTGGTAAAGCACCTGCCTGGTTATGTGCGGGGTCCTAGGTTTGCTCCTCAGCACAACAAACAAACAAAAAACCACACACACATATACATACACACAAAAACAAACAACCCCCGCCCCCAAACAAACATTCTGTGGTGCTGGGGATTGAACCCAGCTACATCTACCAACTGAACTATATCCCCAGCCCACCCCTCCTCAAAAAAAAAAAAAAAAAAAAAAAAAACCAAATGAAATGGTAACAAATTATCTTTAGTGTTCAATTATTCACCTTGCTTGTTAGGATTTGAAGATGCATGAACTGAAAATTGACTTTGAGGGGTACATTCTGATTCAAAGATTAAGGTCTTTATTAGAGTCTGAATTTCATCCAAACCATGGTGAAGAGATTCAAACAACATCCTTTTGAGGAATCCAGTATTGAAAAGGGAACTTGACCTGAAAAAGAAATGAATATATAGAGCACTGGGTTTAAGAAATATTTACTTTCTTTCAAAAAATAAGTCTCAAAAAAAAAAAAGTCTCTATAATATATAAAAAACAGGAATTCAAAAAGAATTTTTGATCTTTAATATTCTTTATTTTCTATTTTTCCAATGCTGTTATTAAATCAGTTCTCTAAACTAGTAGGATTAGCCAAGAAAACTGTATTCACATTAAACCAATAAGAATTTACAGTTTTCATTAGTTGTACAGTACTATGATACTTGGGTATGTGTAGAGAATATACCAGAATACAATGCTGACCCTATAAAAGCCTACAAATGTAGACAAAATTTGGACAGAAACAATATATTGCAGAGGTATTTACAATGCACATTCTCATCAGTAAATCTTAAATTTTGTTTATATATGGTAATAGGTGGGAAGAAATATAAAAATTATATGTGGTAGTGGTGATGTGGTTTAAAAATGGCCCAGGAGTTAATGTGGTATGCTTCACATTGAGAATCACGGATATAACTGACAAAATATGAAATTCTAAGTTAGATAAACCTGGTTACCAAGCCCAGCTTCAGCAGTTACTAGCTATGTAATACTGCTTTTGAGTTTTGTATTCTTTATCATGCAATGGAAAATAAATGTTCTCACAAACTTGTTATGGGAATTAAGTCAGGTGGCATATGTACAATGCCTAGTATAAAGTATATCCTCAATCAATGTAGCCATTATTACTATATATGATTTTAAAGTGTCAAATGAATGATCAACATAAGCTAGGCAAAAAGGAATTTAGAGATTATTTTGGGTTGAAGCACTAAGGAGAGACTTCAAAAGGGAAGTACAATTTGAACAGGGGGTGGGAGAGAGAAGGGACGTATTCTGGATGAGAGTAAAGCAGATCAATAGTTTTGAGTGAGGAAATCATAAGGCATGTGTTAGAACTCAGTCTTAGGAGACAAAACACCTAAATTTCTGATCCTGATTGTACAAATAACTATTTTTTAGGATAAGTTTTAGCAGCATTAAAAAACATTGTGTTATAATTTCCTCATCTGTAAAATGAGGGATCTGGGCTAGAACATCTTCCTTCTGAACCCAGCCATCTGTTATTCTTAATTTCTGCAGTTCTGAGATCCGTGAGTAGGATCACTCAATTGCACATGATAGAGGTGAGTGAGTGCTGGAAGGTATCATCACAAACATATTTACCATTTGTGCCAATTTTTTAGGTTTAGTAGATGGCTAAGCCTTGATCTTGTAAAAACAGCAAAGAAGAAATATGTAATAGTTCATGTCACAATGTTGTTAGCAGTTTCCTATTTCTATAAAAATCTCTAGTAACAAAAAAAACTTATGATACAGATTCTAATTAAACACAATTTAAGGCTTTAAAAACACAGTAAATTGTTATCAATGATAAAAAAAAAAAAACCCACAATACATTAAATATCTGAAGCTTTATCCTATCCAAACAGCTTGACCTAAGACAAAGGCAGACATTTTATAGTTTTCTCACTAAAAACTAATTCCTTTAAGACCTTTTGTATTAGTTGATTTTTCTGTAAAAAGTCATTGTGATCATTTTACAATCACAACCTAGATTTTTAATGATTAGTTTTAAAAAGCTTCCTTCTTACTATTCAGAATGAATTGTCTAGTTTGTAGATAATCTAAGCTTCTCCTCCTTAGTGTTGTCACAAACTAAGGAGAACAATGGAAACAAATGAACCTTAAGTTCATAGGGGAGAGAAGTCATAATTATTTGCCTAGACTTAAAAATTCAATCTAGGGCTGGGTTTGTGGTTCAGCGGCAGAGTGCTTGCTTAGCATGTATGAGGCACTGGGTTCGATTATTAGCAATTAAAAAAAAAAAAAAAAAGTCCATCAACAACTAAAAAATTAAAAAAATAATAAAAATTAAATTTGAATTTGCTTGCCCTTTACCACATAATCAAAAGTTGACAATCAGCAAATCAATACATAAAGCAATTCTGAATATGTGATGCTTAGGCAGGCACATACCACAGAGGTCCAAGTTCTATTGCTGTCTTTCCAGGCATGCTTCCATGACAGTTACAGGGTAGCTGTCTATATGGGTTTTCTATTAAAAAAAAAATAAATAAAAAAAGAGAGAAGAGAGAGAGAGAGAGAGAGACAGAGAGAGAGAGAGAGAGAGAGAGAGAGAGAGAAATCAAAGGAGAAATGACTAATGCAAATAGTAGTAATTGTTATATTAATAATAATTTATAGTTACTATATATTGAGGATCTACTATATGCCAGGTATTATGCTAGGTATTTTTATATGTATTTTAAAAACTTAATCCTTATAATTCTCTGAAGGTACTATTAAAATCACAATCATACAGATTTAAGAGGATTAAAGCTTAAGAGGTTGTAGAAAACCAAGTTAAGTGGTTATTTTAATAGAGACATAGCTGAAAGTAGCTTTTAGTTACTATACTTTATGAAATAATGTTAAGGAGAAAGTCATAACAAATTGGAACAAATAAATTAATCAATTAAAAGAATTAAAACACAGAAGAACATGAAGAAATTTTTTAAAAAAGGAGTACTAAATCTTCAATTTCACAGGATTTTCATATTATTGGGGTATAAGTTATGTGCAATAAAACTATACTCATTTTATGTGAAAAGGTAGATGAGTTCTAACAAATGCATATACCCACATAATCAACATCTCAATCAAAAATATAGGCATTTTTCATAAGTTTAACTGGGAAGAAAATAAGTTTACTCTATTTCTATTATAATAGGCTTCATATATATCCAGTACCCAAAATGTAGGCCAGAAAAGTCTAATTCAGTTTGAAGAACAATTAGAGGCTGATAAGGAAAACTGGGGTGGTATTAGCACTGTTCTTAAGCTTCCAAAATGGAGCAACATTCTACTAGGGGACTTTTAAATTCTCTAAATGCCCAATGTTATAATTTCAACTTTTTTTTTTTTTGGGGGGGGGAGGCAGTGCTAGGAATTAAACCCAGGGCCTCCTGTGTGCCAGGCAAGTGGCCTACAACTGAGCTACATCACCAGCCACCGGAATAGTTATTTTATTTCATTATTGTGTTTTGTTTCTTTTTGGGGGGCGGGGAGAGGGAAATGGAGAGAGGGGGAGAGAGAGAAGGAGAGAGGGAGGGAGGGAGGGGAAAGAAAAGAGAACACAGAGAGGGAAGAAGTAGGAAAGAGAGAAAAGATGCAAAGCAGTCATTTTAAACTAGAAACTCGCCTCCACATGTGGATCATGTCTGTAATCCCAGTGACTCAGGAGGCTGAGGCAGGATAATGGCAAGTTTGAGGTTAGTTTGGACTACTTACTGAGACCCTAGTCAAAAATTAAAATAAAAAGTGCTGGGGTTTGTAGCTTTGTGGTAGAGAGCCCCTGGGTTCAATCCCTAGTCGCCCCCACCTCCAAAGAAATGAATGGGAAACTCTCTAACTAACCATCCCTAACACCAGACTATTCCTGGATTAAGCATTCACTTTCTTGGAACAGCCTGATTCAGTCAGTAAATCCTAGATACATCCAGAACCTAAGAATAATCCTTCTGGTAGAAACATAGGTCCATAACTTCTTACAATATTATTGTTATTCAGTGCAATTAATGGCGTAATGTATAGTTGTTAAACCTTTTTAAAAATATACTAAGATAAGTAATGTGACACGATGCCCTCCATTATCACCATCATACAGTACTTGAAGAAAGGAAAAGTATTCTATGCTTGGAGGAAATTTCAAAATCATAGTATCTATTTTCCCTAATTAATGTGATTTAAAAAATATTGGTTTATTTACTTAGAGAGAGAGAGAGAGAGAGAGAGAGAGAGAGAGTGAGTGTGTGTGTGTGTGTGTGTATGGTGGTAAAGCTTGAACCTAGGGGTGCTCTACCTCTGAGATACATCTCCAGCCCTTTTTATTTCGAGTCAGGGTCTTGCTAAGTTGCCAGGGCTGGCCTTGAACTTGTGATCCTCCTGTCTCAGTGAAATATGAGAGAGAGAGAGAGAGAGAGAGAGAGAGAGAGAGAGAGAGAGAGAGAGAGAGAGAGAGATATCGATCTAATACCAGAAACTCTCTGAAAACACACAATTTTGAGGAAGCATTGCTGTAACAGACATAAATAATGCTAAAAATCCTCTGTAATCAAAATGGCATGGCAGCCATTGGTGGTGGTGTGTGCCTGTAGTCCCTGCTACTCAGGAGACTGAAACAGGGTGGTAACTTGAGTCCAGAAGTTCAAGATCAGCCTGGGCAACACAGTGAGACCCTGTCTCAAAAAAACTCTAAAAAAACAATAAATATGGTGGTAGGGGTATGTGTATAGGTATCCAATCACTGAAACAAAGTAGAAAATCCAGGAACAAACTCAAATACATGTGGAAGTTGGTATAAGATAAAGAAGATATTCTCAAATCAGTTAAGGAAAAATGGACTATTTATTTAATAAAATATAACCTACCTTGAACCACTTAGGAATATGAAAGGTCTATTGACAGACAAAAATCTAGAATACATATAAGTATGACTAACTTTATAATAGCAACAACAAAACACTCCTGTATTAAACAAAAAAGATGCAAACCCAAGTGATGAGATGAGAAAAAAACATTTGTGACTCATGTAATAAGAGCTAAACTCTAATATATAAAGAGTTCTCAAGAATTCATATTTAAAAATACCCAAAACTTCTCAAGGCCAGTCCAGGCAACTTAGCATGAGCCTGTCTCCAAACAAAATAAAAAGGGGTGAGGATGTAGCTCAGTGGCAGAATGTTTGCCTACTATATACACAGAGAGGGAATACAAGGCCATGTAAGGCTTGAACCTTGCCGCAGTCTGGCTGGGCACACAATCACGAGCCACCACACAGCTTGTAGATTCAAACAGCAACTCTTTATTCCCGAACTCACACCAGCCGTCTACAATCACGTTCTGGGGAAATCCACGTTCTCTGCCCAAATTCACCTCCACTGGGCTTCTATCTCCAAATATACTGTCTGAATCCCGTGAGAACTCAAGGGGAACTCAGGCAGCAGGATACGCCCTATTCCCAGCAGGAATAATCTTAAACCTTAAACCTGGAACCTAAACTGGGAACGCCCTAAACACGATTATCTTAAAACCGGGAACACCCTAATCTGCCTTGGTCCTTGAGCAAGGTCACCTACATTCAATGTCACTGCAACATGTCAGCAACATGGGGTACGCTGGCAAGGAAATTGTCATACCTACTTGGCTAATGGCTCCCAGCAGAACCTATCGGTGCTCTACCTCTGAGATACATCTCCAGCTCTTTTTATTTCAAGTCAGGGTCTTGCTAAGTTGCCGGGGCTGGCCTTGAACTTGTGAACAAGCCATGGGTTCAATCCCCAGTACTACAAAATGCAAGCAAACAAAACCCAGCAAACCAAGAACTTAACCAAAAATAATGGGCAAAACTATAATTTCTATGTCCAGTAAAGTAAATAGAAAAATAGCTCTTTCTGAGGGCATGAGCCACAGTTTTGCTTTTCTCTTGTATCCTCAGGCCTGGCATATAGTAGAAACTCAATAAATGTTTACTGAATGGATTTTTAAACTGGTAGCTTTTATATTCAGCCAGAACATGATAATTATTTTTATAAAATTAATGATTTGTATCAGCCTAGACAAAAGTAATCTGACTTACGTTCCTAAAATTAGTTGACAGTGGAAACTAAGTTATTTCTAGATGTTTCAATAAAGGGCAGGGCTATAGAACAAAAACTGTACACCATGAGAAAATAACTTTAATAAACTCACTCGAATGTCTTGTCTGTTGATCAAAGTAAATCCAGTATAGTAAATAACAAAGTTAGCACTGTAATCTTTAAAATCAAAGGACAACAATATGTATAATTAGGGATGTAATAAAAGCTTTTCATTGGAGGCTTACAGATTATAAATTAAACTTAATATACAGTTAAGATGAAATTGAACTTACCTTCTACCATATTACCATCCTTCTGAAAAATTCTTTCTTCACACCACTGACAATGGATTAGGTACTGAATCTTCTTCGCTGTTTCATCAGCTGAGGTAGGCCCCCTCAAAACTCTCACCACCACCAAAACAAAATGTTCCAGAGCCACTGCAAATAGTACTTCTATGCCTTTGTTGCATCGGGCTGAAGCTCTATTAAAAATTTTTTGAAGTTATTTTTGGGTGATTATTATTTTCTTTTATTTGGCATTATAATGACAATACTAATGTGAACAGTAAACTATGGGTGGGTTATGGTAAATAAAGGAAAATTCAATATCTAGTAGTAATGCTTTTGAAAGATCATTACTAGAACTTTACACAAATAGAAATACATGGGTAAAGAACGCCCAGGAGGGTCTTTGGTCTTGACATTTTCCCTTATGACAGCCTCTCCGTAGGACTATATATTCTGGTTTTCAGAGTCACTTTGTTTCTCGTCCTTAACATTAGCTTTTTTCTATAAAAGCTTCTTTCAAATAATATATATTTATGTACGTTTACTGAGTACTGATTATAGGCATGATAGTATGCTAACTGCTGAATATTTAGAGAACAATGAATACTAAAAGTCTTTTCTACCATTAATTAAAGATTTTTTTGGACTGGATTAAGTTCTACCAGGTAAACCATTTCTGAATTTGTTATATTATAAACAGTTTTAAGTATGTGCAGTAAGTTATAGGCAGCACAAAATGTGCATAGAATTTTTGAGTTAATTAGTGATAACCCCAAAGGTCTATTAATCTGTGTTTAAATTGAGGCAGGAATTTCCATCTAAATGCTGTAGAACTTGTGTTTGAGCTAGTAAACTGGCTAATCATTCATTATCTATACTCCTAATTCCAATTATATTCTTGTTCTTCTAGCATAATATTCTACAAGTAATAGGTGCTCAAAAAAGTCTTCCCCATTTCAATGGTTATTTCTGATGAGAAGCTTCTTAGTTTGTAAGATAATTTTGTAGAATAAAGTTTATAAGCCATCCTTTTATTCAAACTATATAAAGATGAAATGGACATAAAACAAATAATCCTCTCTAAATCTAAGAAGTTTTTGTTTTCCATATCATGTTACTATCTCCTATCTACCCTAATCGTTAAGATAAATAGATATGAAATTAATTTTTACTTATATCTTTTCTTTCTTACTACTTTAATTATTTTAATAACATGTTGGAGAGTAAACTAAATATTTTAGATATAAACTTTTAAATAAGGTTTAACAGAATATAAGATTAAAAACACAATAAAACAAATTCAGATTAGCGATTTGGGATACAGAATCTTTATTTCACATTTTTTGAAAAATAATGCCTGTAATCCCAACAACTTAAGAAGCTGAGGCAGGAGGACCATGAGTTCAAGACCAGCCTCAGCACTTATCAAGCCCCTGAGCAACTTAATGAGACCCTGTCTCAAAATAAAACGTAAAAAGAGCTGGGGATGTGGCTCAGTGGTTAAGCACCCGTGTTCTATCCCTGGTACCAAAACAAAAACAAAAAGAAAACAAAACATGATCTAAGCATTCATTTGTAGTATTCTTTCAATCATTATGAAAAAACATTAGGTATACGATTGGCCATCTGGTACCTCGCCACTGCGGCTACGACAATTCTGGCAGCTAATTCCTTGTAATACTCAGTTCGAACAATGTTACATCCATAGTGACGTCGGGCAACGTGTTGTGCCTTGGCATACAAGGAACTGATATCTGTAGATGTCACTGATACTATGCCAAGGTTCCTTATATTTCTGAATGCAGAATCTAGATAGTTTACTGATGTTCCAAAAGGGTCTAGGTGTCTAAAATCAGAAAGAATATAGACATATTTAAACTCATATTAGTAACCAAAATCATACCCCTGTAATTATTTCTAATAAGATTTTATGATTCAAAAGTACCTTACAATCTATTTAAAATACATGGTTCTGTTTTTAAAATAATAAAGTAGTTATATCATAGATCAGAAATATAAATCATAAATCAGGCTAAAAATGCTAGAAAGTTTTCTTATCGCATACTTTAAGCCAATGTAAAAAGCTGTATTAATTTAAATAAACAACAACAATAAATTAATTTAACTCCGCCTTCCCCCAACCCAAATGTCCAGGTCAGTTTAACAAGTGACATAGAAAATCTTTTTCACTTACATGAAATCAAAAGATCTTAAATGCATCAGTACATTGGCATCCATTTTGGTCACCTTAATATTACCAAGATTTTCTTCTCCTTCTTCAAGAATATCATCACCCTCTTTCTTTTCCTTACTGTCTACCACCACTTTCAATTTGTTTAAATGGCAGTTTTCCTGAATCAATGTCACAGAGTTTTCATTCAAGTCATTAATTGTAACTTTGACTGCATTTCCAAGGTGCTTTGCCCACTGTAATCCCATTATTCCTTAGGGAAAATGGAGAAGATAACTAGTTTTTAAATTATAATAACTAAAGAATAAAAACAGTATGAAAAGAATATATTTTTATATATAAATCAAATTCCTTCAAAAATCTTAGTATTTTCATGAACAATTCTTATTTTACTTTCTTAAAAAAATTTTCTCAAGAAGTTAACACAAAAATTTGCCTAAAATTTTTAATACTTCTTACAATACACTTTTTATGAACCTTGTTCAAATAAATGTTCCATGTACTTTTAAAATTTTATTTTATAGAATTGGTTGTTATTATCACTGTTTTTTTTTTTCTTACAATGGAATAGTATTTCAAACAAAATCTTAAAGAGAAACTCATTATATAATAATAACAACTGTGGGGATACTCTGCTGGAAGGGAGAATGACAGGGTGACATTGTCCTGCTGAAGTTTACCTTCACATGCCAAAATATAAAAAAATAACTTTTCTAGAATAGCGATTTTCAAATACTGCACAAAATCATCACTGTGAGTTCAAAAGAACTTGTACATATAAGCAAATAATCAAGAATTTAGACCAAGAATTCCCCTCCTCACAGGCTTTGCATACTGACAGGATTAGTCATAAGTAACAGACATAAACACAACCAATTCGATTAGAACGCCCCTATGTATTAGAAACAGTGACCATTTTCTCCATGCATGTGTCTCATAAATGGAAAAAGTTCTTATCTACTGTGCATTAAGGCCTTTACATATTCTCATAAGTTCTAATGTCCTCATTAACATGGTAAATATGCATATGGCAGCTACAAACCCAGATATAAGGTTATGAAGACACATTAAAAAGAAAAGGCTGAGAAAAATCTTTCTTAGACATCAGCTTTAATAATTTCAGATTAAAAACAAGAGTAAAGAAAAAGGGCGTGTAAGGAAAAACACGGGAACATAGATTTGGAATAGTGGGTTGGGATCAGATTATGAAGAATATTAAATTGCTATTTGAGAAGTATGGACTATAGGTAGTAAAGATAGATGACTTTTTTGATTGAGAAGTAACAATATTAATGTAGTTCTTCAGAGGAATGGCTGTTTGGCAGTAATACAGAAGACAAATTAGAGGGAAGAGACAGATTATAAACCAGGGTACTAATTAAAGACAACTAAAATACACTTGGAAAAGGAGTGAGTTATAGTACCAAAGAAAAATCAAGAGATGTGGTGGCTGAGTTGATCTGACGAGAGTAGAGAGGAAAAGAGGAGCAAAAAATTATTCAATTTTCGTAGTTAGGTGACTCAGAAGTGTTAGTTCATTACTTTTACCCTATTTGCACGGAGACATTACCAATGAAGGTGTTGGTAGTAGCAGTAGTAATAATATAATAAAGGTGATCCTCAATGCTTTCATGGCATTTTCTACTTAACAGGTATTGTTCTAATGACTTTAACTATATTAATTTACTTAAATCTTCACTGCTAGAAGTTGCATACTGGTGTTGTCTCCTCCACTACTCCACTTCTATACATAAGCAATTTACTGTGGTCATACAACTAGTACATAATGAAGCTGGGACTTGAACCCAGGCAGTTTGGCTCTATAATCCATGCTTTTAATCACTGTTTTTCACCAAGGAGAGGAGCATAGGAAGGAGAGATTCCTCATGCTTGCTAAGAGCATAATCCTAAATTCTTTATGAAGAAAGCCTTGAACTGGGTACAAGTGGCTATTAAGAAACCATCTACTGTTTCCCTTATCTTTTCTCTATTGTTAAAAATCTCTTGGGGGGGCTGGGGTTGTGACTCAATGGCAGAGCTCTTGCTTTGCACATGTGAGGCACTGGGGTTGATCCTCAACACCATATAAAAAAATAAACAAAATGAAAATATTGTGTCCCATGTATAACTAAAAAAATATTAAAAAAAAATCTCTTGGGAAGAAGAATGACTTTCAAAGTTGAAGGCTACGCAATGGTTATTACAACACACAAAAAAAAGAGTCATCAGTTGCTTCCTGATTATAGAAAATAAGCATTCTTTTTTTTTAAATTTATTTATTTATTTTTAGTTTTTCGGCAGACACAACATCTTTGTTTGTACGTGGTGCTGAGGATCGAACCCGGGCCGCAGGCATGCCAGGCGAGCGCGCTACCGCTTGAGCCACATCCCCAGCCCGAAAATAAGCATTCTTGAAAAAATAATTTATAACTGAATCTGACCAAACCATCAGTTTATTTATTTTTATTTTTTTATGGTGCTAGGGATTGAAAAACCAGGCCTTTTGCATGCAAGGCAAGCACTGTATCAACTGAGTTATCTCCCCAGCTCTGAAACCATCAATTTACAAAAATACAAGAGAGAAAGGAAAATGTTATATGAACCATAGCAATACAATCAGCAAAATCTAGACTGTCAGAACTCTATAGGTCAAAAGACCTGTTATATCAAGAAATAATTAACACACACACACACACAGACATATATAATTAACACACACTCTAATAAGAGTTAAACAGCAAACAAAATACATAGTCTAGATTCTGATTTGAACTTTTAAAAACAAAACTGGGCATATATATACAACTGGTGATATTAAAGAGTTATTCTTATTTTTTTTAGGTGTGATAATGGTATTATAGTTTTATTTATTTAAAAAAATTCTCTTTTAGACATCCAACTTAAATATTTACATGAAATAACACATACATGGTTTGTTCCATATTAATGGGGATTGAGCAACTGAGGTGTGGGGTATGGGGAAACAGATAAAACAAGACTAAGTATGAGGTGATTATTTCTGAAGTGAGTGATAAGACACACAGGGAGTCATTAATTATACTCTTTGCTTTTGTATATACTTAATAGACAAATAAAGCTGGGAGCGGCAGTGCACGCCTATAATCCCAGCAACTCGGGAGGCTGAGGCAGGAGGATCATGAATTCAAATCCAGCCTCAGCAATGGTGAGGCAGAAAGCTACTCAGGGAGACCCTGTCTCTAAATAAAATACGAAATAGGATAGGGGATGTGGCTCAGTGGTAGAGTGCCCCTAAGTTCAATCCCGAGTACAAAATAAAAGAAAGTAAAATAAAGGTATTGTGTCCATCTATAACTAAAAAAAAATAAAAATAAAAACTATATATTTTCTAGAAAAAGACACTGTAAAAAACTGAGAAAGAAAATGGGATTCCAAAAATACTTCCTTCCTTACCAGTCGCTCCAAAGGCATCTAGACATTCCAGAGGTTTTCGTTCCTTAGCCAAAGCAGCCAATGTGCAGAATATCAGCTGTCTAGAAGAAAGTAATATAAAGGTAATTTTACGAGATTATAGCTTCATTATTGTAGATTTTATTTCATTTAAGAAAAGTGAGAATTGGAGGGGGTCTCTAGTTACTGTACAAACTATTTTGAAAAGAGAAGCAATAAAATATATCCCCATTTTAATAGCATAAAAAACTTAAGAAATTAAATTATGAATTTAATTAAGTTCTATCTAATAACTTTCTTCATTTACTTATTAATAAAACTGGCCTATGAAAGTGCAGCCTATTCATTAATTATATAAAATTAGGCCAATTTAACTTTCTGACAAAAACAAAACAAAGAACCATACACACACACTAAATAAAACAAACAAAAAACTAGATTGGTAGTCTGCACCTAAAGTTTAATACATTAGAACCATAGAGGTTAAAAAAAAGATATCTGTAATGATTTGAAATAGCCCATAACCCCTTTAAAAAAAATTATCTTACCGATTTAGTTTCATTTTGGGATTAAAATAGGAATCTGTTTTCTGAGGTATAGAATAGTTAGGACAAACTTGTACATCTGTGTCTGTTTCTTTCAAAATTTCAGTACATGGTTTAGCAGTAGAAGCTAAGATTGAAAAAAAAAGATTTCAGGAACAAACAAAGTTATTCTAAACATCTAAAACAACATACATTTGAAAAAAAACTATATTGTTTTGTGTTAATGTAAGCAGTTGGGTAAATAATAAAACCAAAACAACTCATTTATTCATCACTGTCTCCAAAAAAATGTTGCACCCAGGTAAGTATCTGGTGAATGAAAGAAAGTGTATTCACTTAAAATCTTGACTGTATAACATACCTACATATCTGTACTATGATATCTAAGGACAATCATTTTAAGATAGCATGAAATCCTAAAATACCTCTATGATTCAGCAAATAACACTGTTTTTATACGGCTGCTAAATATGTTTTATGATGGTCTAATTGTTAGAAAAAATGAGTATGAGCATCTCTGTATGGTTGCATTCTACCAGCCAGTATAGCTGAGTAAGAATCACTGTTTCCTAGGAACCAGGTGTGGTGGCGCAAACCTGTAATCCCAGGGGAGGCGGAGGCAGGAAGATAGAGAATTCAAAGATAGCCTCAGCAATTTAGCAAGGCCCTAAGCAATTCAGCGAGATCCTGTCTCTAATAAACAAAATACAAAAAAAGGCTGGGGATGTGGCTCAGTAGTTAAGTACCTCTAGGTTCAATACCTGATACCAAAAAAAAAAAAGGAATCATTGTGTTTCCAGAGCATACTGGACTTTAGACTCTAATTTTCTCATGATATTTTTAAATACAAATTATGTTCAAATGGCTACCAAGTAATGAAAAAATGACTCTACATTTAATATACATTAGAATCCTTTTTAAAAAATATTTTTAATAATTTTTTTTAAAGAGAGAGAGAATTTTAATATTTATTTTTTAGTTATCAGTGGACACAACATATTTGTCTGTATGTGGTGCTGAGGATCAAACCTGGGCCGAACGCATGCCAGGCGAGCGCGTTACCGCTTGAGCCACATCCCCAGCCCAACATTAGAATCCTTTGGGTATAAACTCAAATGATATACTGATGTGTACATTTGTGCATGTTTTAAATATCAAGAAATAAGACACATAATGTGGGGAGGGGGAAGAAATGAGATCCTTTATGAGAAAGGCTGACAAGCTATAGATGATTCTGTATCAGGAAAAAGGTTTTTATTTCACTCTGCATCCTTTTCCCAGTTTTCCAAATTAAGCACAACAAGTTTTATATATTTATATAAAATTTGTTATTAGAAATATAATTCTAGGGCTGGGGTTGTGGCTCAGCAACACAGTGCTCATGTAGTATGTGCAAGGCCCTGGGTTCGAGCCTCAGCACCACATAAAAATAAATAAAATAAAGGTATTGTGTCCAACTACAGCTAAAAAATATATATTAAAAAAAAAAAGAAAAAACCCTATAATTTTATAACGTTTAATTAAGATACCTATATTTACTTGAGGGTCACTTGCATTTTTTTACATCATTAATTAAATGTATCTGTTGAGAACAGCTGAATGTTACTGGAAACCTTACAGAAAGAAAACAAAATGTGAAATAAAGGATTGGTAGTCAACCAAATTTTTTCACTAAATCAGTGTATTTTATATGCCTAAGTTCTTGGGGAAAAAAAATAACAGGACCATTATTTAAAAATATACATGTTAATACGTTAATGAGATGCTTAACTTACCAGCAATATACCTGGACTTAGTCTCTCCTTTATTCACATGGCGCCTAACGTGTCCTAGCATATCAGTCCTTCTGGTGATTGTTGCTGAACAAATGATACAATGATAATGGGCTCCCATTTTACTGAATATCTATCAAACAGAATTTGAATAAGTTACTAAGACAATTAAACAGAAGTTTAAAGTTGCAAATACGTTAGTGTCTTGGGTTAAATAGCATAGAAGATAATGATCATTTTGCCATATGACTGTTAAAGAATCCTAACTTCCTTACAGAATTTACTTTCTCTTTTTGTGGGTGGGGAGTAGGAGGTGGTGTTTGAGGGGTTCCAGGAATGGAATCCAGGGGTGTTTAACCGCTGAGCCACATCCCCAGTCCTTTTACTTTTTGAAACAGGGTCTCAACTAGGTTGCTTATAATCTTGCTAAGTTGCTGAGGCTGGCTTTGAACCTTCGATCCTCTTGCCTCAGACTCCCAAGCTGCTGGGATTATAGGCGTGAGCCACAGTGCCCACCCAGCTCCTTACTAAATTTAATTTCCTAGTTTTCCACATTCTTTCTATTCAGGAAATAACTCTAAGGTATTTTCTATAAGCTGCACTTACAAATGCTAGCAGATGTATGCTGGTAAATGTTTAACTGACTCTTCAAGAAAATAAAGCCCTCACTTTAGTGTTTGCCAATTTCTACGGTATACTGTACCATGGCCAATTTCAAGCCATAATTGTGACAGATTTCAAAATACAAATGCAACATCACTGAATGTGGATTTGAGAAGAGATGTGTAAAATCATACCATTATAGAACATTATCACCATGCAGATGTAAATAACTTTGAGGGCACAGAGAGTGAAATGTAGAAAAAATAATTAGGAATGGTAAATTCTGAATATCATTAGCTTTTTTTGGTTAAAACTTTTAAGATTTCAGAAAATTTGTTGATTCTGTCAAACTTAAAAGTTCAAAGAACATGGGGAGAGTGAATATAAAATTGAAACATACTAAGTTATTTACTAATTCACAGAAATTTGAAGCTCGTATTCCATGATCAAAATTTATTTTAAAAGACAAAAATTACTCTGTAAATTCTCCATTCCAAAATTGGTAAATGATTTAATTTTCATTTTTAACACAAGAGCAGTTTACCTAACTGAAATTAAAAACCATAAAATGAAAAGTTAATTAAAAATGTTTTCATAAATCTCATATTTTTTCTATTATGATTATCTGAAAGCACTCACATGCAGAATTTTAAACTATATTGTTAAACATGAGCATTTTACATAAGTCAGAAATTACTTCTTGGCCTTTTGGTTGAAATCAAACAGTTCTAAAGCAAATAAAAACTGTATTTTTTTTTAAAAAAATTAAATTTAAAAGCAAAAATAATAATGTCCAATTACCTGTTCTCCAATAATATTTGGTTTTACTGGTCGACACGGTAAGTGACAGATGCACATCCTATAACCTAGAATGAAGAATGGCTGGCTGTCATATCATTGTTCATTAAAAATTCAATTAGCACTAAAAATTGTCAGTAAGAGCCTACTGCGCAGGTGGATTTGTCCAGATGTTTTATGAATACATTCCTTTACTTTACAGCCAGGGTCACTGTTTTGATTGTCACCTAAAGATTGGAGATAAGGGAAGTCCCAGCTTCCCCTCTCCATTTCCTTCCTTATCATATTTTTTACAGTCCTTGTTTCATCATAAGCTTTCCTAGGCAGTGATGAATGTTTTTTAAATTTATTCAAATTAGTTATACATGACAGTAGAATGTATTCTGACACATCATGCATATATGGAGTATAACCTGTCATTCTTCTGGTTGTACATGATGTAGAATTATACCAGTCATGTAATTATATATGCACATAGGGTAATAATGTCTGATTCATTCTACTCTCCCTCCTACCTCCATACCCCCTCCCCTCCCTTCACTCCCCTCTGCCTAATCCAAAGTAACCCCCACCCCCAGCTTATTGTGAATTAGCATCTGCAGATCAGAGAAAACATTCAGACTTTGGTGTTTTGAGATTGGCTTATTTCTCTTGGCATGGTAGTCTCCAGCTCCATCCATTTACCTGCAAATGCCATGATTTCATTCTTATTTAAAGCTGAGTTAATATTTCATTCTGTATATATACCACATTTTCTTTATACATTCATTTGTTACATTTTTGAGCACAAGGATTACAATTTCTCTACATCCTTGCTAACACTTCTTATTTTATGTTGGAGAGTAGCCATTCTAATGGGTGTGAAGTAGTTATCTTGTATTTTGATTTGCATTTTCCTAATCAGTGACGTTGGGATATTTTCATTTGTAAGTCTTTGGAAAATGTCTATTTAAATCTTTGCCCATTTTTTAAAAAATGTTTTTTAGATGTTGATGAATCTTTATTTTATTCATTTTTTATAATATGTGATGCTGAGAATCAAACCCAGCCTCACACATGGTAGGCAAGTACTCTACTGAACCACATCCCCAGCCTCCCTGCCCATATTTTAATCTTCTTGTTTGGGGTTTGCTGTTATCGTTTTTTTAGCTTGAGGTGTTGCCTATTCTGTGTTACTCTCTTATCAGATTTGTAATTAGCAAATATTTTCTCCCATTCTTTGGGTTGCCTTTTTGCTCTGTTGATAGTGTCCTTTCATGTGCAAAACTTATAAATAATTGTCGTGCAGTCCAGTTTGTCTATTTTTCATTCTGTTGCTTATGCTTTTGATGCCCTACCCAAGAAATTATTGCCAAATTCAATGTTGTGAAGCTCTGTCCGTGTTTTATCCTAAAGCTTTTATTTTTATTTTTTAATTTATTTTTTAGTTTTCGGCGGACACATCTTTATTTGTATGTGGTGCTGAGGATTGAACCCAGGCTGCACGCATGCCAGGCGAGCACGCTACACTTGAGCCACATCCCCAGCCCCTAAAGCTTTTATTTTGTTTCAGGTCTTAAATTTAGATTCTGATTCATTGATTTAATTTTTGTGTACGACCAAGTAAAGTTCTAATTTTATTCTCTCAAAAAATATTACATAAGAATTACATAAGAATAATTGGGATTATCCTTGTATTTGTAATGTCACAATTACTTGAATGAGACTGCTTTAGTTTATACATGGGATTGATAGATATAAATAAATACAGAAGATTCAGACTTGAATTCTAGTCTTGTAATGAATATTTAATCTGGGATTATTAGTCATTTAAAGTCTTTGACACTCAGTTTAATAGTGCTGCCTTCAATTTTTTCTTAGGCTTCATCTTCTTTGTCTCATACTATATTTGCCATTATACACTCTTTTTTTCATTTATGATCAGCACCATCCTGATTCTTTTCCCACCTTTTAAAATCTTCTTTTACAGATCTCCTTTGCATTACCTACTCTAAAATGTAAATATTACTTAGGCTAGATTAGCTGTGACTTTTTTCCCTTGGTTACTTTTAACTTCTTTCATGATTCCAATTCTTTCTCTTATAGGAGAGAAAGGCAATGATTTCAGAATATTTATCTTATAACCCAGAATAATCTGAGTATTCTTTTTTTAGGGGGGTACTGGGGATTGAACTCAGGGGCACTCAACCACTGAAGCACATCCCAGCCCTATTTTTAAAATATTTTATTTAGAGATAGGGTCTCAATGAGTTGCTTAATGCCTCCCTTTTGCTGAGGCTGGCTTGGAACTCGAGATCCTCCTAGCTCAGCCTCCCAATCTGCTGGGATTATAGGCATGTGCTAGTTACCCAGCTATAATCTGAGTATTCTTCTTTTTTTCCCCCTCCTTGTAAAGCATTTTATTGTTTCTCACAAATTAGGGGAAATATCATTATCAGTAACAGAAAAATCCTTACTTAACAAAACATGTGAAAGCGCAGAAGAATTTGGCAACAACTCTGATGAATTCCAGTGTTACTAATTTACAGTTCTTTTAAACTATACTGTAATTTATTTATTTTTATTTTTTTTAATTTGTTTTAATTAGTTACACATGACAGTACAATGATCTTGACATATCTTACATTTGAATCAGATGGGGTATAATTTCTCATTTTTCTGAGTGTACAGGTTGCAGAATCATATTGGTCATGCAGTCAGTCACAAATATACATACAGCAATAATAATGTCTATTTTATTCTGTTGTCCTTCCTTTCCCCCTTCCCCTCTCATCACTACTATACTGTATTTTAATACTCAAAGCTTTCATAAAGAATACCAGATTCAGTAACTCCTGAAATGACCCACAACAAGCAAGCACTGACACTACTCCTTTAATTCTTCCTATGTTCATGCTTATGTAGATTTAGTTCGCGAAACACAAATCTTCTCTTGCAACTACTAAGTACTCTTAACTCTAGTTTCTTAAGCCATCAGGAATAAAAAGATTTTTTTCCAGTAGTTTTGTTTTATTTTATTGTTTTGGTACATTTACTTTGCCTTCAAAATTATGTGTAAAATGGAAGTTGTTTTACTACTAATGGAAAAGTGTAATTTATTAAAACACTGTTCAATAAACACTATGGACTCCCAGGGCCAGAGTACCTAGTATAGAATAGATGCCTAATAAATGTTTGTGTAACTAAATTGTATCATTTGTATCTATTGCCTATAAAGCTATTATCTTATTTAATAAGGGGCATTAAATCCTTCATAATTTTGAACTGAAACTGTTTGATCATGTTCACAATAAAATTCCAAGACTAGTAATAATAATAAATTTCATGTATGTCATTTTTTTTTTAGCCAGCACAAAAATACTAACCTTCAAATTCAACTGAGACTTTCCAGTGTAAATTCTGAAGATGACGACGAAGCTTATGACTATTACAAGCTCTGAATTTTTCCTTAGGGCACAATGGACAAACTTGTTTGTTTCCTGAAAAAGTAACAAGACCCAAAAATGCACCAGAATATACTAGCTATTAATGCCTAGATTCAGCTATAAAAGAGGCAAAAGGGAACTTTCCCATGCTCCCCTCCTACTTTTTAGCAAATGACCCTTGACTTTTTTTTTAATTCTTTAGTTCCCCTTTCTGTGGCTAGCTGATATCTCCGTTGCTACTAGGAACAGAGAAGTTGAGAAAATGATACACATATGTACCACTTATCCCTTCGTCAGTTAACACTGAGGAAGTTTGTAAAATGGAAGAAGGAAGTGAAAGAGTAGATGAGACCCAATATAACTGGTATTCTGAGATGGTGGGGGGCATGGTTAGAACCACTGTATCTTGAATTTCACTGTATTGCTGAACATATAAGTTCATCATTCTTTATTCACATACTCCTTAGATTATGGATTACTAATTAATTAGAAATCCAATGTATCGCAATTAAAAACTTTTATAGTGTACAAAACAATTAAATCTTAATTCAGGATTAGAGCAATAAAAACTACAGAACTAAACAATAACTCATTTAATAATTTTTAGTCTAACAAATATTTTTCACATACAGCACAATACAAGAATAGGTACATAAAATTTAGCCAGGTACAGTGCATTACACATCTGTAATCCCAGGGACTCTGGAGGCTAAGGCCAGGGGGAATCACAAGTTTGAAGTCACCTGGGAAATGCAGCGAGAATTTGTCTCAAAATAAAAAGTAAAATGGGCTGGAGATGTAGCTCAGTGGTAAAGTGCCCCTGGTTCAATCTCCAATTTAAAAAAAAAAACAAAAAACAGGCACAATTTATGTTTTTATATATACTGCCTACCTCAAAAAAAAAAAAAAAAAAAACCCACCAAAAAACCATGAGGTTGCTAGGGTTATAGCTCAGTGGGAGAGCACTTGCCTAGCACGTGTGAGGCACTGGGTTCCATCCTCAGCACCACGTAAATATAAATAAATAAAGGTACTGTGTCCATCCACAACTAAAAATATTTAAAAACAAAAACAAACAAACCATGAGGTGATCTTAGTAAAGCAGAAAAAGAGGAGGCACTGACAACACTGCAAAATGTTCCAACCAGCCCTACTACACTGCCTATCTTGGGACTTTTACATATTATTTAAAATGCTGTTCTGGGGATCTCTGTTAACTTGTAGCCATGTAATTCCTAATTTACAGAATACACAGCCCTGAAAGACCAAGAGTTTGTAGTTTCCTTGAGGAGTTATGAATTAACTTATTTCACAGCACCTTTGCACATAGAAGCTACCAATTTCTTGAATAATATTTTCAAAATTTTACTATTCTAGTTAAATAAGAATAAAAAGGTCTGTTCTCTTTCTCTTGCAGTGTTAGGGATCCCAAGGCCTCGTCCATGCTAAGCATGTGCTCTACCACTAAGCTTTAATCACAGCCCTTAAACAAGTCTATTCTTAGGAAACTGGCAATCAGCTGAAAGATGACAACCCAACAGAAAGTAAGTGGGGACAGGGGGCAGATAGAGACACAATCAATCAATCAATCAACATACCTGTATCAAGATTATCTGAGTTCAATGAATTGGCAGAATCAAAATCCCCTTCAGTTACAAAAGCTAACTTCTCCAGATCACCAAGCTGCCTTTGAATTGAGATGTGTCTCTCTGAAAAGAAATTTGAGTTATAAAATTATTTTTTAACAATTTGTTTTTTAGTTTCAGGACAACAGAGAAGCCAAAGAAGTGCTGTAAAAGAGAAACTGCTTAGTATTAATACTAAATGTTACAAACAGTTGCAAAGACCAAGAAAAGATTACTGGATTTAGTATGTAGCATGTCTGGTGACCTTTAAAAAAGCTTGAGGTGCTTGGGAGTAGAAATGAGATTGAAAGGGGAAAGGAAATTCAGAAAATTAGTGTAATTATTTTTTCAAGAACTTTGGCAATAAACAAACAACAACAACAACAAAAAAACAAAACAAAAAATCAAAAGAAAGAAAAAGCAAATTAAAATTTCATCTAAGCACAGAAATACCCTGAATATATTTGCATTCCAAAGAAAAGGGAAATTTACAAAGTGGGAGCCCAATATAGCTCCATATGCTAACAGATAAAGCTCCTAAAGAGAAAGGAGAATATATAAATTGTTATGTTAAACAATTTTTGACACTCTGACCTTCCCAACTATTCCTCCATAAACTTCATTCTCAGTTCACTTGTTCACTCATTTGTTTAATTTAAAAAAAAAAAAAACAAAACATTTTTTGCCTGTGGTACTAGGGATTGAACTCTGGGCCTAAAACGTGCTAGGCAAGCTGCTAACCCTGAGCTGTGCCACCAACTCTTTTTTAAAATTTATTTTGATAGTCTAAGTGGCCCAGGATGGTCTCAATTTGCCTCAACCAGCAGTGGGATTACAGGCATGTGTCACCACACCTGGCTCATTTATATAATTTGTGTTATTATCTGTCTTTCCTCACAAATCAGCAATAAAATAGGGGCTATGCCTTATTCATTGGTTTAATGGTTAGTGCAGGAACTTGACAGAGCATGCACTGAAATTTATTAAACAATTAAAAAAAATTATTAGGGATGAAGCAGAAGCACACTGCATCAATAATTTGGGGATCAATTTAGCACTACAAACATTCCTGTTCAAGTTTATTAAAAATATGGTTTTCCACTTTATTTTTAATTGAATAAAAACAAAGAGCAACAAACATTGGTTAACTTTTTTTCTAGGTATTATTCAAATAAATTTTAATGAGATATAATTTGTCAAAACCAGAAAAAAATTTGATTAAATACAGTTTCAACTGCTAGGTCAGGCCAGGCACAGTGATGCACACCCACAATCCCAGCAACTTGGGAGGCTAAGGCAGGAGGATCACAAGGTTGAGGCCAGCCTGGGCAATTGAGACCTTGAGTCTAAATAAAAAGAGTCTGAGATGTGTCTCATTGTCAGGACACTACTGGGTTCAATCCACAGTACCACAGAACAATAAAGGAAATTTATAGGTAAGACATTAAAAGTCAAGATATGAAAACATGCATATAAACCAACCCATCACATTTGTAACAATAAAGACTTTTGGCTTTCATAGTTCAAAGAGCTGTATATGTGAAACAAGACAGAACTATATAAAAATGTACTCATTGAAATTATTCTGTTAAAAAAAGAGAAAGACCTCAGAAAATTAGAGAACAGAAAATCCTGTGGTCCACAATTGAAGAAAACTGTCAAAGACCTGTCTGAAAATTCGTAATATTCCTGTAAACATCTCTGAAATCACTTTCTGGTTTAAAACAGTAGATATCATCATGAAATCTGTACTTAAATCAGCCAACTTGCTTTTTGTAACATACTAATAATCCAGAAGTCAACAGGCACACCTTTTGTTAAATTAGATGAGTCCAAGTTGCTAGGAGGTTCTTCAACAACCTTTGTTACTTTCTCCTTAATTTTCAAATCTATTTCAGAAACACCATCTTCATCTTGCCTAGTTACAATTGAGTTGGAAGGACTAACTAGACTGTCTAAAAAATAATTTTTAAAAATGTGATTAATATGAATTTTAGTTCTAATGTACTTCAGATTTCTCAATCATTAATTTGTCCCAGCAATGCATTTTCAGGTTACCCAAACGGTGGACATACACATTTTTTAAATCACATACACTTTTAAAATATATAAGTAAATACTATGTTTAAGGCAATCTTAATGAGGAGAAGTGGAGAAACGTGCATTCCCAAAGCTGTTGAACCACTTCTGATTAACTTAAGCAGATAAAATCTGTAGTTGAGGCAGGACGCTATTTACTTAGGAAAGCATAATGCCTCTACCCACGTACCACAGCGGTAAATGAAGGAATAACAGACCTTACATTCAACCTACAATTCTGATCTTTTGAGGAGGAGCCTACCTCAGATGTCTGACGATAAACTGCTCAATCTGCTATAAATTATATGTTGTTTTAAAGCTATTATCCATTAGACGACTCAAGTAGTTTTTTTTTTTTTGGTACCGGAAATTTAACACAGGGGTGCTTAACCACTGCAACACATCCCCAGCCCTTTTTATTTTTTTTAAACTTTGGGACAGGGTCTCCCTGGATTGCTGAGGCTGGTCTCCAACTTGCCATCCTTCTGTCTCAGCCTCCCAAACTCCACAGCGCCCAGCTTATTCAGGTGTTTTATAAACATTAAAAGCAAAACTGCCCTAGAAGTAGTAAAGATGAATTAACCTAAGACAGTTTGAGAATTCAGAACGAGTATAAAGTTTATGGGCCACAAAATAATTTTTTTTGAAGGAACGAAGCCTTAGATTTCACATTTTAAAATGTTCAAAAGATCCTTTTAAAAGTATTAACCACCACTTAGAAAACATGCAAGCACATTCAGAGCACAATAGGGCCTATCTTCTACAGCTGACTCCTGGTGGGCTGTTGGGATGTACAAAACTCAACTAACGTTTATGTGTAAAGAGACGACTGAGTAGACTCTTCCAAACTCATTAGCTTCAAAATCTTTATAGAGACAAGCCCATCTCAAGGCAGAAAAACTGACAGCAATAGTTTCTAAATCTTCGCAGCCAGGATCTACTGTTAGGTTGCTTCGGTTTCTATGTCACATTTGAAAGGATTAAGTTAACTAAAGGAGCCTAGGCTGAGAGGGAAACTATCATATTATGGATAACTTCCTTTTCTATACCATAAAAATTCCTCTTCAACGAAGAAGGCTTTAACCTCATTATTTCCTTCTATCTGCAGCACCCCTGGCCTCCACATATCCTTCACCGTAATGTCCTCGAGATTTACGGTGTCTTCTTCCAGTACCGCTGCTTTACCCTTACCCGTCACACCGGTCTCGCCTCCCCCACCCTATATTTCCCTAAACCTGCCTTTCCCCATAAAACCCCTTCCCTACTCCCCAGTCGGGAGCCTTTTCTCGCTCCTCTGCGGTAGAAAGATCTAGGCCTCCTGCACTTACTGCTTTCATCCTCCTCAGGGGCAGAGGCTAGGGACGGGGACAGGGCCGGAGCCTGGGCCAGGGCAAGGGCTGGGGCTGGAGCAGAGGCCGGAGTCGGAGCCGAGGCTGGAGCCGAATCTGGGGCGGGAGCTGGGACCCGAGCCGAGTCCGGGGCTGGGGTCGGGACCTGGGCCGCTGCCTCCTGCAGGGGTAGCAGCTCCTCCTCCGCCATGTTCTCCATAGTTACCGCCTCCGTGCCAGGCCCGCCCGAGGACCGGGAGGGGCTCACGGCGGGGTGAGAGAACTGACGTTAATGCCCACAGGGCTAGATCCGAGGAGTGGGGAAGCACCGGGGAGGGCGGGACGCGTGCAACCGACAAAAGACGAAGAACCAGTGACCAAACCCTGCCCGCAGGAAAAGAAAAAGCCAAAGGCAGCGAATCGAGAACCCATGAGCTTCCCGTTCCTCGAGGCGTTACGACGCCGCCACAGACTGCGCAGAAGCGAGCTGGCGCCTGCGTCCAATGGGGTGAGAGAGTTCGATTTCCACCTAGCGCCTCCGTCCCGCCTGCAGCTGGCGAACGGAGCTGAGCCTACAGCCCCCAGAGTGCATTGCGTCGCGGGGCGGGGCGAAGCCAAGCCCTCCAAGCGAGTATCTGGAGGTCTAAACAGACGCAGCGGAGCGCTCGCGCGGGAGGCTGGGCCTGAGCGCAGGACTACGTTTCCCAGCGGGCCGCGGGCCTGCGGGGACCCATTCCCGTGCCTGGGCCTCCGGAGTCGCTCCTGCGGTGGGCGCTGGTAAGTGGGGAGCTGGGGGTGTGCCGGCCTGCCGCTGAGCAGGGTCCCCTCCGCCGTCTGCCCCCAGAACCCTAGCGGGCCGCCGCCGGAACTGGAGACGCGAGAGTGACTCGTGCCTGGGCGGAGCGACTCTGTGGGCGCATCCACGGTCGGCCCGGCGCCGTGGAGGGTGTGGTTCTAACCTGGCCCTGCCTCTGGGGCTGCCTTTCGCGGCTTGTAAGAGTCTGGGAATGGGCTGGTGGTGACCCAAATCACCGCGGGGCCACCCAAGAAGCTACCCTGCCCGACGGCCCGGCTGACTGGGACTTGGACTCTGCTCTTCGTATCACACTCTCACCCACGTCGTGACCCCAACCCCCTCTTCCTTTAAGTTGTTTACCTTTAGTTTTCAATAGCGCTGCGGTGTGGTCGTAGGTGTCCAGTACTTGGCACGTTGTTTTTTTGCCCTGTTTTGCTTTGTTTTTAGGCTTTTAATAGCCAGAGCTAAAAGCGTGTTGAGCTTTTGGGCACTTGATTGATGCATTCAGATATCTCAAGGTGTATGTCCGGTGAATCGTCCCCTTATCCCTCCATGCTTTTCTCCAATTTTACTTTCTAGCCTTACTTAGCATTCAGGGTTCCCTAGTTATTTTCCTTCCCCCCCGCCCCTCGGGTAAGCCCACTGGAGCAGGCAGGGCAAAACTTTTTTTGGTTGTCCTTCCTGTGACTGGTCTGAACGTTATGAGCTGCAGGGAAGAAGAGGGAAGCCCATTTTAGTCACAGGTACCAAACTGTTCGGTTTTCTTAGTTAACAAAGCTAAGTGCTTCTTGTGTTGTTTGGTTTATTTCCTACTTGTTTCGGAACCCAGTGGAGAGGACGCGTGATTATTTGGCACTTTGAACCCCTAACCGGAAGTTGGTCTCCTTTTCCTAGTTAGGAAATATATTTGGAGGGTTTTTTGTTTGTTTGTTTTAAAAATTTTCCCCAGTTTAATGGAAGCACTATCCCCACGAAGCTTCTGCGAGTTATAATACTAAAGCTCCTTTAGTCCACCCCCTTTTAATTAATATTCCTGGATATGTAGTCGACCCACTGTTTAACAGTTAATTAAAAATAGAATAAGAACACTTATTATAAACTGTGGAAGTGCCACCTGTGTCTGTATCAGTGCAACACTCGAGAATAATTAATTTTTTTCATTCCTAGATAATTGTTTTTCCCCTCCCCCATCCGTTCTGAGCATGGAACTCAGGGTAAGAGTACATACTAGGCAAGTACTCTTACTACTGAGCAACATCCCCCTGACCCAATCAATCTCTAAAAGACTAGATGGTTATTGAAACTTTTATTCAGTAAGTCATCCACATCATTTAAGACCAGCAGGAAACCAGATGATGAAAAGGATTTGATATTAGCCTGTGTTTTAGTAAAAATTGCTAAGTGTGAAGGAATTTTCAAAGTTGAATTACACTAAGGAAATGTACTGTTAGTTGGTAGCTGCATGTTATCCCAAAACTTAGTGGCTTAACACAATAATTTTATCACTTTAAAGTTTCTGTGGGTCAAAAATTCAGAAATGGCCTTTGAGTGGATCTGACTTGTCTTTGATGAAGCTGCAGTGAAGATATCTCTGACAGGGATGTGAAGATATGATAGGGCTATAGGATGCTTCAAAGGTAGCTCACTTACATGCATGGCAGTTGGTTCTGGTTGTTGGCAACAGGCCTCCATTCTTCTCTAGTGGGCCTTTCCCTGGACTGCTTCAATGTCACTTAAGACATAGTGTCATTCCCTAGATTGATCAATCCAAAACAGCAAGACAGAAGTCACAGTGTCTTATGCCACCATGTGGCAGTATCCTATTGGTTACACAGGTCAGCCCTGTTTCTTATGGAGGGGACTACTGAGCTTGTGATTGCTAAGCAACAGGAATCCTGGATAGCCATCTAGGTGAAGGCCCACATAGGGGAGTCCCCCTCAAGTTTGTTTTTATTAGCATAAATTCAATATGAATCTCACACTAATGTAAATGGAAAACATTTGTCACAGTAAACATTTAGATGTTTTTTGTTGGATAGTCCACTGTCTGGAGTGTTCTTTTTCAGTGTCTTGTAGGTAAGAGGTTTAAATTGGTATTGGGGTATCCACAGCAACAATAATAGACCAGCATGATAAGTTAAAATTGTAAAAGGAAACTTTATAATCAGTCAGTTGCCCCTAAGCAATGTCTTTAATGGAATGTCTTTAAGTTCTGTTGCCCCAGGTTGGCCAGGAACTCCTGGGCTTAAGCCATCCTTCTGCCTTAGCCTGGGACTACCTGTAGCCAACACCATGCTAGGCTGCAGGGTTTTTTGTTTTTTTTTTCCCCCAGTTGTGCATTTCCTTCCCCACCTGTGGAATGGAATCCTTGAGACAAGAAAGGGTAAAGATTACTGCTGGAAGGTCAACTGTGAATTCAACCATTACCATAATTATCTTACAAAGGAAAAATTGGGGGTAATTTAGAATTTGTTCTTAGAAGTTGTATTGAATATTCTGTAACCAAAAACTGGGTCCTTGACCCCAAATGCCAATTAATGCTAATTTAATAATGAGAAAAAGGAAAAAAGTTGTTTTATTGCTTTGCTAGTAAAGGAGAAACATCGGGAATCCTGTCCCTGAGGCTGTGATTCTCACTGTCAGGAGGGACAGGGTGGAAGGTGTTGGTTTTAAAGGAACTCTTCTAAGGTTACATTCCAGATGTGTTCTGGTAGGGGGTCCCAGGGCACCCTGTTGGCATGTAGGGATTCACTTGTTAATTTGGGAGATATTAATTTCCCAGATCCTCAGCAGGCATCTCCTTCCCATAGTGAGTGAGTTCAAGGACAATTAACTAGGAGAAGAAAAGATACACTGTCTCCCTAATATTTTTAGGGAGGGGGGAGGAAAGGGGAGAAGACCTAAAAAACAAACAAATAAACAAACAAACAAATGTTCTTTTTTAAAAAAATAAGCCTTGGAACAACAAGGGCTATATTCAGAAGTTGAAGGGACCACTGTTAAAATTCATTTGCTAATTTTTCTTATTAGATTTTCAGTTAGCTGTTAAAATTTTCTTCTTGATATTCATTAAATCATTCTAAAAATTTCAGTATAATTGGTCATTTTTTTGGTAGAAGTTCAGCTATTCCCATTATGGTTGACCAGTAGTAAGTGAAATTGCCTGGTTTCTAGCCTTTGTTATATTCACAATCTCAATATGTGTCACTGCCAGCTATTAATTGTTTTGCTTCTAGATCCTTTTTGTTTATTCCTGCCCCGACAGACCTGTCTATGTTCCCAATCCCTGGCCACTGTGTCCTAGTGTGAGATGCTGCTCTGTGCTGCTGGAGCACACTAATTTGAGAATGTTTATGACTGCAAGGTGTGGCTGTGTGTGCCTTCTACCCCACCCCTTTTGGTTATCAGCTTCTAGCCCCCCCCCCCTCCTTTGGTTATCAGCTAACAGTAGTGAGTGTGTTCTAGAGCAATTAACTAGGGGAAGAAAGGATAACACTGTTATCTTCTCCCTTCTTCCCCTCCCTAACAAGATTAGACTTGGTCTAGTGTATGAATGAAAAAGTAAAACTGGGATTGAAAGTGAACAGAGGAACAGCAGTAGGCAGGAGTTGGGAGTGTAATCACAAAATGATGGATGCAGACCTCTACAGATTCAGTGAAGCTGTTTATTCAGCTCAGGCACCGTGGGGCTCATTTTCTGGATGTGGAAATAGCTGTTGGTTACAGAGGGGATTTTAGTTTTATAGTGTACAGTGAGGTGGTTTAATCATTGGAAACTGTGGACTTGCCCTTTGGACAGTCAGGGGCTAGTTGTGTAGGTTAAATCTTTAACTCAGGAAGGCAGTTGTAAAAAGGTTGAAACTCATTGTTACCTGGAGAGATAGTAGCGCAGATTCCAAGATAGTACTCAAATCTCGCCCACTGGTTTTCTTTTTCTGGGATTTGTTGTTTCCCAGAGTTTCGATATTTGCTGTGCCTCCATTTAGGACTAATTTGCAGTGGGAGAAAGGTCAAAATACAAAGCCCAGCACTTAGTATCCGCCTGCTTCCTTCAGTGCCTGTTGTTTTTGGGAAAGGATTTACTAGGAGAAGTTAATGCTTCGCTAATTTCCCCTGCCTCCTCCTGAGCTGCACTGTAACCCTTCAGGAAGTGGCTCAGAATGAGTGAATATTCTGAGGAAGAAGAATTCATCCAGGTATTCACTCAGCAGGCATTTACAGGCATCTCTCAAGTTTTTCATACAGTGTATTTTTCTTGGTGCTCTATGTCTAGTAGAAAGACAAACCACATAAGTATTTATTTAGACCCCACTATGTACCACCCTGTGCAAGCTGCGTTTTATATCCATTATTTCATTTGACTCTCTCAAAAAGGGTGAGTTGTCTTTGTTTTTATATGTAATGAAAGTAGCACTCAAACGATTATGCAATTTGCTCTTAGCCTCACTGAGTGACAGAGGGTGTGTCTGGGAAACTGAAAATTTATGACTAATTGGTTTTGAGGTATAGAAGTGCTAAAATATAGTCCTGCAGGCAGTTGAAAATGGTGATCTGATATTTCAGGGACAAGTCAGGGTTTATGGCATAGTTTTGAGATTCATTCCTGAAAAGTCGATGAATAATGCTGAGATAAAGGAGCAACTTCTCATGAAAGAGAATGTTAAGTGAGACAGTGAGAGAATCTTGTCATCTTGAGAATGACTAGAAAATGGAAATAATTTTGTAAAACTCCAATCTTCATATAACAGAAAGAATACTTTTTAATGTACTTTTTATTTGGTAAACAACACATAATATATTTTTAATTTCTATTTTAGCTTTTCAAGATGTCCAATAAAGAATCTTATGGAAAAGAAGAAAAGTCTCAAAGAAAAGGCACTACCTTATTGCCAGTCTTTGATGAAGAAGTAAGAATTTTGATTTAATGACCTTTTTTTTACAATTTAATTTTGTGAGATGAAAAAAATATACCTTACTTTTTACAATGAGATATGTCAATATTTTGTTCTGTCCATCCGGCCTGGGAGAAGTCATTTGCTTTTCTCATTCTTTACTTGCATTATTTTATTTATTCCTCGCAAATCTATGATGTAGTTACTGTTAATTACCTCAGTTATACAAATTAAGGAATTAAGCTTTAGAACTGTGTGCGGTGGTGCATGCCTGTAATCCCAGCTCTATTGCAAGTTCCAGGCCGGCCTGGGCAATGTAGCAAGACCCTGTCTCAAAATTTTAAAAAATTTAAAGAAGAGCTGGGGTTTAATTCGGTGCATGAGACTCTGGATTAAATCCCTAGTACTAAAGGGAAAAAAAAAAAAAGAAATTGAGGCTTAGAGTTTAGTTACTCAGAGGAATGTAATTTGCCTATACATTCCTGACTTCCCTTTTAAGTCTCCTAAATCCTCATATGTATAATAATAAGTCCATTAGACCATTTCCCACATTTTCTTCCTTTTCCTTCTTCTCAGCATTCCTTGGGATTGTACTCTTTTTGCGGGTGTGTGTAATGTTTTGGAGGTGGGGTGTGTAATGTTTACTGGGGATTGAATTCATGGGCACACTGAGCCACATGCCTAGCCCAATTTGGTATTTTATTTAGAGACAGGGTCTCACTGAGTTGCTTAGCATCTCACTGTTGCTGAGGCTGGCTTTGAACTTGAGATCCTCCTGCCTTAGTCTCCAGAGTCACTGTGACTATAGGTGTGCGACACTGAGTCTGACTCATTCCAATGATTTCTCAGTTGATCTCCTTGCCTCTTTCTTTGCAGCCTCATGGTCTATTCTTTTTTTTTTTTTTTTGTAATCAAAAGATAATTTTATCTCTTACCAAACCTTAGAAGTGCATATAGTGAAGAAATCCTGCCTTGCTTCTAAATGAAAACTAGCAGGCTCATGGTTTTTCTCTCACATTTACATGATAGACTTGAGGTAACAATACAGTTTCAGCTCAGCAATAAGCCAGTCCAAGATGTTACTTTGAATTTTGATTTTGACACCAGCTCTACCCCAGATCAGGCCTGTGCTTCACCTGGAAACCCAAAGGGCAAGAGTTTCCTCCTCCTTTCTTCTCCTGGTTCTGCTAATGCTCAATGCTAGTTCACCAGCCACATTCTGACCCTGCATCATTGTCTGTTCTTAACATAGCCGTCAGTATGGTCCTATGAATTAGCAATAATCATGCCTCTGATAAACCTCATTGGTTATAATACTGCCACTTCACAAAGCTGTAGTATGGTCCTATTAAAATTTAAGTCAGATCATGTCACTCTACCTCCATTGGTTTTCCATGCCATCCAAAGTAAAGCTAAAGTCCTTGTTGGGGCTGCCAAAACCACCAGCTCTCCCCATGTTATCTCCTCATCACTATTCCCTTTGCTCTTCACCCCATGGCTTCCTTTTTATTGCTCCAGCAAGCTAGACACATTCCTGCTTCTGGGGCTTTGCCCTTTCTTGTATTCCTTTGAATTGAACACTCTTTCTCCAGGTATTCACATGGTTTATTTCTTCACTTCATTTAGGTCTCCATTCAGATGTCAGTTTATCAAGTGGTATTTTCTGACGACTCTATAAAATTGCAACTCCCCCTTCCAGCTCCCAGCCTTTCCTATCCTCTTTCTCTGCATAGTTTTATTCCATAGCATAATATAACACACTAAATATATTGCTTATTTATTTATAAATTCCTTTACTAGATTTTAATCTTTATGGAGCCAGGGGAGTTTGTTATTATTATTATTATTATTTTAATTACTCTCTGCCCACTGTCTGGTATGTCTTTGGTACATGATAGGTGTTAACCTGTTAACATAACTATAGGCTGACTTGAAAGTTAGGTCAAGCTGACCCCATTCTGCCCAGATACTTCGCCCTGCCCCCCACCTTCCTGCAAGAGCCCACTCACATAGAAGCTGATACCCCGGCCCACCTGTACTCTCACCACAATGCTCACAGACATTAGCCTACTTTCCAAGTATATGCAGAGGTTGCCAGTTCTGGGAACTTGGCAGCCATGTGCTTGCCCCTCCTGTCCCCTCCCCTTGTGGTTTTTGGAGTTTTGAATCTTGCTCTTTACCTGCAACAGCAAGGGTTAAACCCTCCCCTAATGCATGACCTAGATTCTGACTTATAAAAGTTTGGCTCAAAGGAAATCTGCTGCTGTTGTCTCTGCACAGAGGCAGCCTGTCAGATTCTGGACAATAAATCTGCTTTTGCTTAGCCTTGGTGTGTTGGAGTGGTCAGTCCTGCACCCAGTGTCCTTTGAGTAGGTACTGCAAACAAGGTTTTCCTTGGCCTATTGAATTCAAGATCCAGAGAAAAATAACAAATGTATGTTTTTGCTTTGTAGAAGACTGATTCCCACCATGGCAGTGCCACCTTACAGCATTCTTACCTGAGCTGCTTGCTCTTACACCTGTATCCATCTCATAAGAGCCCCCAGAGCTTTATGATTTCTTGTTAAATCTTCCTGCCAGTTGAGTCTCCTTTTTTTCTTACTAAAGTTTATATTTCTTTAAATGTTATTCTCAAGTTCAGTATGGAATGGGAATGTCAATTTATAATAATGGTGAAATAATACTTTTTTATATTGTTTTTCTCTTTTTTTTCCCCCCCAAATGGCACTTAGGACAAGAAAAAGAAAAACACCTCAGCAAGTTCTACTAGTTCAGTTTACTCTGTGAAATCAGTTTCATCAGAGAGTAGGAAACTGGTGAGTGTTTAGATATCATAATTAAATAAAAATTATGTCTATTAAATTTATTTCTTCATTTATTTTTAAAGGATCTCACTATATTCCCCAGGCTTGCCTGGAATTTTTAGGCTCAAGCTTTTCTCCTGTCTCAGCCTCCTGAATACTGGGATTACAGGCATGTGCTATTGTATCAGGCTATGTTAAAGTTTTAATGTACAGTTAGAAGGTTTTCTCTTATACTCGTTGATGGCCAGTTATTGACATCTATCCAAGTTGGCGACATATGCTGGGTTCACAAAACTTGACTATTCCAGTAATTTAATGTGGGAGTAACTTTTGCTTGCAGCTAGCAGCTACGAGTAGCTCAGAGTGCTAGGACAACCTAGGCTCATACAGGCCTGACGGGCATACCTGCAGGATGGGGCACTCTGCTCTAGCAAGCCGTTGAACAAAACCACATTCTCAGTGATTGAGTTAGTGTTGCCAAGGAACTGAGAGACAAGGGCCTCAGGGCACGATTCCCCCAACTCATAAGGCCCCCTTTCATAGGGACAATGATCCTTCCAGACAGCCTTCCACTACTTAGCAATATCTAGAGCTTCCTCATAGTGCAGTTACATTGATCATAAGATGATTGGTTTCTAAATGTTAGGTAACCTTGCTTATGTATGATTGGAGGATGCACCCTATATAAGTTGTAACCTCTTCCGCATTAAACCAGCTTGCTGGAGGTCTGCCACCTGCATGTTCTCACCAGCTCGCAGTATTTATGTCTTGACTCTACGTCCATACTCTCTGCAACTGAGTGTAGCTAAGGGATCCATAACAACAATTTAACAGCAAAGAAAGCTCGCAAACACACAGAAGTACCTTTTCAAAATCTGGGGATGACTCTGTGACCTTAGGGTTCCTTGGAAAGAGAGTGAGCCACTGGAATTCTTTATTCTTATATAGGAGACACACAAGGGGAGGTTCCATGGAACATTCTATCCCAAAAAGGCAAAGGTGTAGAATTACAAAGGAACAGGTGGGTATAATTCAACCCCATTGGGTGACGCCCACTCCTGGAGCCACATCTTCCTTATCTAAGTGTGGAGGCAAAACACAGCGTATTATGGGGTGCAATTACTCTTCAGTACCCCTTTACTCAAGACTTAAAGGTGTGCACATATCTTCTGTCCAGAGTGGCTCCCAACAGCCAGTGGAACACCAATATCTGTTTTTACTTCTTCCTCCTACTCACCTAAAAGCATTTATCAGGTTGTATCTTGTTCCATTGTAGTTTGGTTTGTTTCTTTTTTTAATCTTAGATTTGCTTATAAATAGATTATACACCGTAAATGTTCCTTTCTAGTAATGGAAACCTTTTGGTATTGGAGTCTGTGTTTTTAGATTTTAAAATAGCATGTTGAAATTTGCAAAAGCTGCTGCTAAACTTCACTGAGAATGTTAATGGGAGTTCTTTTTATTCTTCAACTTTCTTTTCTCTTGCCCTTTTTCAGCTGTGCATTCTTGTTCCAGTTTAACTATAATCTTATGAGATCACTATCATAAGTAGTCTCAATGACTGAAGTGTGACACATGACTATAAGTAAACTATTGTTTCAGTTTTTTTTTTTTTTGCCCCTCCAATGTTGGGATTAAATCAGGGCCATTCAGATACCGCTGAACTATATCTCTAGCCTTTTTATTTTTTATTTTGATAGAGGGTCTCCCTAAGTTGCCCAGGCTGCCCTTGAACTTGTGATTCTCCTGCCTTACCCTCCCAGGTTGCTGGGATTAGAGATGTGTACCATCAAGCCTGGCTCATTTTATTGTTTTTGTTTTGTTTTTCGTGCTAAGGATTGAACCCAGGATCTTGTGCATGCTTAGCACAGACTCTACCACTGAGCTACATTACAAGCCTCCGGATTTCTTAAAACATTAATTTTATTATGTTTGGTCTATACAGAAAGATCTTCATTTACTGTTTAGTTTGTTATTTAGGACTCTCAAATTTGGTTGCATCTTTTAAAATTTTTTTAATTGATTCTTTTTAGTTATACATGATAGTAGAATCCATTCTGATATAATTATATAAGCATGGAATATATTTTATTCTAATTAGGATCCATTCTTGTGGATGTACACAATGGTGAGATTCACTGTGGTGTATTCATATATGTACATAAGAAAATTATGTCAGATTCATCCACTATCTTTCCTTTTCCTATCCTCCTCCCTTCCCTTCGTTCCCCTTTGTCTGATCTACTGAATTTCTGTTTTCTGCCCCATCCCCCCACTGTGTGTTAGCTTGCACATATCAGTGAAAATGTTTGACCTTGGGTTTTTGAGATTGGTGTATTTCAGTTAGTCTCCATATCCATCCATTTTTTGGCAAATGTCATAAAGTCATTGTTCTTAATGGCTGAGTAAAATTCCATTGTGTATATATACGTTTTCTTTATTCATTTATCTGTTGAAGGGCACCTAGGTTGGTTTCATAGCTTAGCTCTTGTGAATTGTGCTTCTATAAACATTGACGTGGTTGCGTCACTGGAATATGCTGATTATATTTTTTTTAATTATGTGTTATTTATTTTAGTTGTCGAAGGACCTTTAGTTTTTATTTATTTATATGCAGTGCTGAGAATCAAACCCAGTGCCTCACACATGCCAGGCAAGCGCTCTACCACTGAGCCACAACCCCAGCCCAAGTATGCTGATTTTAAATCCTTTGGATGTTTACTGAGGAGTTGGATAACTGGGTCAAATGGTGGTTCCATTCCTAGTTTTTTGAGGAATCTCCATGCTGCTTTCCAGAGTGGTTGCACCATTTTCAGTCTCACCAGCAATGTATGAGTGCATCTTTCTCCCCACATTGTTACTTGCATTTTTTTAAAATATTTTTTTACTTGTAGATGGATACAATATCTTTATTTATTTTTTAATGTGGTGCTGAGGATCAAACCTAGGGCCTCACCCATGTGAGACAAGTGCTCTACCACTGAGCTACAACCCCAGCCTGTTACTTGTATTCTTGATAATTGCAGTCTGATTGGAGTAAGATAGACTCTCAGCATAGTTTTAATTTGTATCTCTCTAATTGCTAGAAAAGTTGAATACTTTTTCATATATTTGTTAGTTGTGTTTCTTCTTTTGAGAAGTGTCTGTTCAGTTCCTTTGCCCATTTATTGATTGGATTATTTGTGTTTTTTGGTGTTAAGTTTTTTGAGTTTTTTGTATATTCTGGAAGTGAATGCCCTGAGATGCAGGTGTAGTGATTTTCTCCCATTCTGTAGGCTTTCTCTTCATGTTCTTAAAATGTTTTCTGTGTTGTGAAGAAGCTTTTTAATTTGATGCCATCCCATTTATTGATTTTTGATTTTACTTCTTGTGCTTTAAGAGTCTTGTTAAAGAAGTCAGTTCCTGAGCTGATATGTTGGAGTGTTGGACCTACATTTTCTTCTAGTATATGCAGGGTTTCTAGTTTAATTCGCGTGGGTCTTTGATCCACTTTGAGTTGAGTTTTGTGCAGGGGTGAGATAGGGGTTAAATTTCATCATACTACATATGGATTTCCAGTTTTCCTGACATCATTTATTGAGAGGCTATCTTTTCTCCAATGTATGTTTTTGGCACTTTCGTCTATTATGAGGTCTCTGTATATGTGTGGGTTTGTCTCTGCATCTTCTGTTTTGTTCCATGGTCTTATGTCTGTTTTAGTGCTAATACTATGCTGTTTTTATTACTATAATTCTGTGGTATAATTTAAGGTGTGGTATTGTGATGCCTCCAGATTTGCTTTTCTTGCTAAGGATTGCTTAGGCTATTCTTGTCCTCTTAATTTTCCAAATGAATTTCGTGACTGTTTCCTTCCTTCCTTCTTTCCACTTCCTTCCTTTCTTCTTTCCTTTTGTAATTTCAACACAATACCTTTATTTTATTTATTTTTATGTGGTGCTGAGGATTTAACTAACCAGGGCCTCACACATGCTAGGATAGTGTTCTATCACTGAGCTACAACCCCGGCTCCGTTTTTTCTATTTCTATGAAGAACATCATTGGAATTTTGATGGGAATTGTATGTAATCTATATAGTGCCTTTGGTAGTATGGCTATTTTGACAGTATTAATTCTGCCAATCCAAGAACATGGGAGGTCCTTCTATCTTCTAAAGTTGTCTTCTATTTCTTTCTTTAATGTTCTATAGTTTTTATCATAGAGGTCCTTCACCTCTTGTTAGTTTGATTCCCAAGTAATTTTTTTTTGAGGCTATTGGTAATGGGATGGTTTTCCTAATTTTTCTTTACGCTAATTAATCATTGGAGTATAGGAACACAATTAGTTTATGGGTTTTCATTTTTGTATCCTGCTACTTTGTTGAATTCATTTGAGTTCTAGGAGTTTTATGGTGAAATTTTTTGGTCTTGTATAGGATCATGTCATCAGCAAACCGATATATTTTCAGCTCTTCTTTTCCTATTCAGATCCCTTTAATTTTTTTCTTTTGCCTAATTGCTTTAGTGAGAGTTTTAAGGACTTTGTTGAATAGAAGCAGTAAATGTGGGCATCCCTGTCTTGTTTTTAGAGGGAATGCTTTCCGTTTGGTTGCATTTTAACTAATTTTTTTTTTTTTTCTGTTTTCCTTCTAACTCTAAGTAGGCTGGTTTATTTTCTCTTAGTTGAAAATTTATATCACTTGTTTTCTTTTAATCTCCATCTTCATCTATTCTTCTTCTTTTTCTTCTTTTTGAGTAGTTGGGATTGAATCCAAGTGTGCTGTCCCACCAAGCTCCATCCTCAGACCCTTCTCTACTCTGGGTGCTGGGAATTGAACCCAGAGGCACTTTACCAGGGCACCATACCCCAACCTTTTTTATTTTTTATTTTGAGACAGGGTCTTTCTAAGTTACCCAGAGTGGCTTCAAAGTTGCAGTTCCTCTCCCTCTTCCCAAGTAACTGAGATTACAGGTGTGCAACTCCAGGCTCAGCTATTTTTCAGGCTTATCATATATTTTCTCTACCTTCTTTCCTGGTCACCTTCTGTCTTTTTTTTTTTTGTACCAGGTATTGAACCCAGGGGCACTTTACTATTGAGCCACATTCCCAGCCCTTTTTTATATTTTATTTAAAGACAGGGTCTTGCTGAGTTGCTTAGGGCCTCGCTAAATTGTTGAGGCTGGCTTTGAACTCACCATCTTCCTGCCTCAGCCTTCTGACCTTCTGTGATTTATAGGTGTGGTAGTTGATATTTTGAACTCTTTTAGTACTTGTTTACTCTTCCTGCTTTGACACTTGGTTATTTCTTTACATAGATTATTTGCCCATAGCTTTATATCTCTTATCTTTCTTGTGCTAGCTTTGTATACCAAGGATGGTAGAGTAGAGAGAATGTCAGACAGATCTGGTTCGAAATCATGTCTTTTCTACTGACTTGCTCTGTGATATTCAGGAAGATACCTAATTTGTTTAAGTTTTGGGAAATTTATATATGAAATAAGGATGATAATAATATCTGTCCCACAAGAAGTTTGGAAGGCTTAAGTAAATTATTATGTTAGTCTATTCACTATTACATAGTAATGAAACAAAAATATTGTCTCCCAATCTCATTTCCCTGTAACTACAGTATCAGTGTACAATTTATATTTTCTAAATGATATATATATATATATATTTTTTTTTTTTTTCTTTTTTTTCAGAAATCAGATCATACAGACATTCTATATTATAATACAAAAAGAAGACAGGAACTGAAAAGGTAAAATTTCCTTTTTTCTTGACATCTTTTTTACTTTTTTGGGTTAGAATTATAAGTCTTGGAGCCAGGTATAATAGCATTTGCCTATTATTCCAGTGGCTCGGGAGGCTGAGACAGGAGAATCACAAGTTCAAGGCCATCCTCAGCAATTTAGTGAGGTCCTAAACAACTCAGTGAAACCCTGTCTTAAAATAAAAAATAGCTGTGGATGTGATTCAATGGTTAAGTGCCCCTGGGTTCATTCCCCAGCACCCAAAAAAGAAAGAAAGAAAAAAGAATTATGAGATTAAGGTTTTAGGTTTGGAAAATCTTACATTTACTCTGATTAATATTGTTTAGCATACAAATATCTCTGGCTGTTTCACAAGTTATAACTAGTGAACTTTCTTAATACTATAAATTTCAGAAAAGGTTGAGTGAAATGATAAAGTCTATCAAAAGTACATTGTGTTCTACAGTATACGTTACAAACAAAATGTAGATTTTTATCTCTAGTAAATTTATTATTTATTTATTTTTTGGTACCAGGATTTTATTCAGTGATGCTTAACCACTGATTTCCAGCCACTTTTTTTTTTTTTTTTGTACTGGGAATTGAACTCAGGTGCTTAACCACTGAGCCACATCCCCAGCCCCTCCAGCCACTTTTTATTTTGAGACAGGGGTTCACTAAGTTGCTAAGGCTAATCTTGAATTTGAGATCTTTCTGTCTCAGCCTCCTGAGTTGCTGGGATTACAGGCATGTGCCATCATGCCCGGCTCATCTCTAATGATTTGAATTAGCACATAATGATAAGATACATAACTTCATTGTGTATGCTAAAAGAGAGGTTATGAGGCTAATTTAGAAATCATAGATAAATTATCTGTTTATCTATCTATCTTGTAAAGACAATATTTAGCTTACTGAATTGAAATGGCTCTGAACTGTTTATTAATCAGTATGTGATTACAACTAGAGAACTTGGGGAATGATGATAGGTATACTAGAAATTATTTTTCTTTAATTTCCTCCTCGGGATAAAATTTTTAGAGAAATTTGTAGTGAAGGAATTTCTTGCCACTATTTGGAGAGGTAAATAAATAAGTATAAAAAGTATATTGTGTGACAAGAGGTAGTTAAGAACAAGGTTTCTCTGGGATAAGCAGTTAGAGAAAACAGAATGGCATGAACATCTAAATACAACTGCTGCTTCTCAACCAATTTCAGTTAATATCTACTAAAAACAACACAAAACAAAAATCCTTCTTTCCTCTGACTTCAGTTTTCTTTTGAATCACTGTTTTAAAGGTGATACATCTGTATCATCTGTTGAAATATATTCCAGAGTATATTTCGTGTTAAATTGACAATTGTTTGTTACATTTTTTGAATTAGGTTTTAAATGCCTTTTGCACTATCCTCTTTTTCTGTTGTTAAAATTTTATGTTCTAAAAGTACAAGACTACTTGACTTTTTTACTACCTTTTGCTTCAGGGCATATTTTTTAAGACCTTAATCTTAATTAATATGTATAAGGAAAAATGGAAGTAAATTTTTCATTGATACATCTGTGCCCTTAGACTTGCCTGTATACCCTTTGAAAGGAAGAAGAAATAATCATTTTTTTTGTTGGTTTTTTTGAGACTAAGATTTGAATTATTCTAAGGAATCAATGAAGTTCAGTTTGTCTAAGTTTTTATTCAAAATCTGCTGCTTGGCTTCAGTGTTGCAGTACTGAGTAGTTAAGTAACATTTTGGCATGCCTGAAAATATGTGATGCATCATCATGTCATTGTATGAGTTATCATCATATCTCATCTTGGGAATAAGTAATATGGACAAGATATGCCCTTTGTAGTTATCGTTAGTGTCTGAATATTCCCTATCAAATATTGGCAAGTATTATACATGTCACTTTTAATGACAATTTTCTTTAGTCAAAGACAGAGTATATGGTGTACAAGATATTTTAGAATTGTCCTGTCATGGATATATCCTAGCTATTCCAAAAACAATTATGGTATAGGAGCTACTATATAACTAAAAGTTGCAGTGGCACATGCTTGCGGCAGGAGGACGACAAGTTTGAGGCTAGCGTTGAAAACTTATCTCAAAAAAAAAAAAGGAGGCTGGGAATGGGGCTCAGTGTTACAGTGCCACATACAAAATTCACATACACATATATAAGTTGCTTAGATAGGAAAGCTGTGATATTGTACTTCATTAATATCAACAGTGTATTTTTAGAAAAAAATTAATTTGGGGGCTGGGGATGTGGCTCAAGTGGTAGTGCGCTCACCTGGTATGCGTGCATCCCAGGTTCGATCCTCAGCACCACATACAAACAAAGATGTTGTGTCTCCCGAAAACTAAAAAATAAATATTAAAAATTTCTCTCTCTCTCTCTCTCTCTCTCTTAAAAAATTAATTTGGTACTGGGGATTGAACTCCGGGGTGCTCAAGCACTGAGTCATATCCCTAGTCTTTTTTTATATTTTATTTAGAGACAGGGTCTTGCTGAATTGCTCCGGGCTTTGCTAAGTTGCTAAGGCTGGCTTTGAACTTGAGATCCTCCTGCCTCAGCCTCCCAAGCTGCTGGGATTACAGATATGTGTTACCACACCCAGCTTCAATAGTGTATTTCTAACAACCATTGGTTGCTTATAGAGAAAGTGGTTCAGTTGCTGCTGTTGTTCACTTAATGGAGGATTAAATTTCTCTTAAGGTTATATGTATTTCTTTCTTTTTTTTTTAAGAGAGAGAGAGAGAATCTTTTTCTTTTTTGTAGATGGACACAACACAATGCCTTTATTTTTATGTGGTGCTGAGGATCGAACCCGGCTCCCGCCTGTGCTAGGTGAGCGCTCTACCGCTGAGCCACAATCCCAGCCCCAAGTATTTCTTTTTTAAAAAATATTTTTACTTGTAGATGGTCACAATATTTTTATTTTGTTTATGTGGTTCTGGTGACTGAACCCAGTGCCTCACATGTGCTAGGCAAGTACTCTACCACTGAGCCGCAACCTGAGCCTGGTTGTAAGTATTTCTTATAAGTTATATAGCATTCTTGGTAAAACAAACAAACAAACAAAACTCCGGTAATTAACTCAGCTCCAAAGAAAGTCTTGAAATTTGTTTGCAGACAGTGAATCCTGAGATGCAGAGGGAAAAATAGAAGTTTTAATATGTGAGAAGCCAGTTAAATTATACCATTACCATTACACCTGCTCCTTGATTTAAGTACACATAAATGTATTAGTGATGAAAATATAAGCAAGGACAATAATATTAGTTGCTTTTGATATTTAGAATGTTATCAATATTCAATGTTTTCAGTAGTCAGAAAGCATTTCTTCAAATAATTAATACACAGTTTGTGGGATTTCTTCAGTTACAGTCCGTTGTCATCATTGTTCAGATCTTTTAAGTCCATGAGTTGCAGAGGAGATAAACTTATATTTTTAGTTATTATCCGATAGAGCAATATTGCTATCAAAAGTGCCCATTCACTGACAGAATTAACTAAAATATAAAATAGTGCCTTATTTTTCAGTATCTTAAATGTGCATTATGATGGCTGAAGGACCAAATATAGCAACTAATAATTTTAAAATTAATTATTGCTTCTGCAGTATGTCATATTTTAAAAGTGTTGGTTACTGGGCTGGGATTTTAGCTCAGTGGTAGAGTGCTTGCCTAGCATGCCTGAGGCACTGTGTCTAATCCTTAGCACCACATATAAATTAAAAATAAATAAATAAATAAAGGTATTAAATTGTCCACGTGTAACTAAAAAATATTTAAAAAATAAAGTGTTGGTTACTAAATTTTTTTTAACAATCTAATTAAAATAATGAAAATTTTCACATTCCAAGGAATTTAATCTTGGGTGGTGATATTTGGTTTCAAATGCTGTTTTTAGCACTAAATCATTCATAAAAGATAATACTTGCTTGGTGTCATTTATCAAGATCTTAAACTTTAATATGCTTCTTAGAGCTGTAAAAAACTGGTCAATAAGAAATAAAATTTTTAAGATTTAATTTTTTTTGATCTTTAAAAGTATTACAGAGTTGAATTTTCATTAATTGCGATTGTAGACCATGATGAACAAATTGCCATGAAATATGTAGCACTGGGCTATTGTCAAGAGTAAATAAACTGGAAATATGAAATGCTCAGAGAACTTTAGGAACCTTTTGAAACTTAAATGTTGTTTTACAGTTACTTATTAATAAATAATGGCAGTCTTTTTGTATGAAAGAAGTAGCAGAGAAAATAAAACCAGTTGAAGACTCAAGTGAAATTCCTGTTAAAAAAAATCTGAGATGTTTATTGTTTATTCTTACATAATTATTTGAGAAGCCACTAATTTATTATTATTCCCTCCCTTGGTGGGCCCTAAGCTAATTGGGAGTAAGGACTATTTGATGTGTCTTCTATTGCCTCTTCAGTAGTTAACAAAGTGACTTACACTTAGAAGGCACTTAAGGATTTATTGATTTAATAGGTTGTGTTTCATTGAGGCTTATTTCACTTTCTTTCTATCCACATAGTTGCATCTAGTTTTATTAAGCAGGGATATATTATTACCTTTAGCTATTGCTACTTCTAATGTTTTAGCACATTTCTCTTTGGCCGTTTTATTAGACTTGTTTAAATTATTCAGACCATGGTATGTATACAGAATTGTGCCCTGCTTGTTTTTTGCTTAATGTTATGTTTTCTCTCATTAGGAACCTTCCATAAACATTTGAAAAAACTATGATAATCTATCATATGAATGTGATGTTTTGAAAAATCATGTCCAAAATTTCAGCCATTACTTTTCTATCTGTTTTCTGCTATTGTAAATAATCCTGAGTTGAATATCTTTAAAATATTTTTAAAATTTATTTGATTTTTTTAATATTGGTATGGATTTCTTAAATGTGAATTATTGAGGTATCAAAAATATAAGCATTTTTAGATCTTTTAATTTATATTGCCAAATTCCTTTGTAGAACTATCATATCATTTTACATATCTACCAGCATCATATGGGAGTCTTTTTTACAACCCCCCACCCAATATTTAATGCTATTTTAAAATGTTTGCTTTTTGGTAGGAAAAATACTATGTTATTGTTATTATTAGCTTGCTTGTTTGTTATTGTTAGGAAAGTCAGTGTTTTTCACAAATGTTTATTAGCCTCTTTTTCTCTTTCATTAATTTTTTTTAATGATCTATTCTAATGTTTTAGTACTTCTTTCTTTCTGTCTTTTTGGCAATACTGGGGATTGAACCCAGGGCCTCATTTATGCTAAAGAAGTACTCTGTCACTGAGCTACATCTCTAGCTCTCTTAATACTTGTTTTTAATATTTTTGAGTTTTAGGGCTGGGGTTGTGGCTCAGTGGTAGAGCGCTTGCCTAGCATGTGCAAGTCGTATGTATATGTATATGCATATATGTGTATATGTGTATATATATATATATATATATATATATATATATATGCTGTAGATGGACACAGTATCTAATTTATTTATTTTTATGTGGTGCCAAGGATTGAACCCAGTGCCTCACACATGGGAGGCAAGTGCTCTACCACTGAGCCCCAGCCCTGCTTTCATTGTTAAGTAAGCAATTTTTTTAATTTTTAAGAAGTTTAGAGTTAGCCTAGTCTGTCAGCCTTAACAAAAATCATATAGCACAATATGTATAATTGTAATGTAACCTAGTTTTCTGTGCTGCTTTACAGATCGAATGTAGACGTCGACACAGACACACCAAAAAAGAGACTGAAAACCAGTTCCTCATCCCAAGGACCTGCTAAATTCCAAGAAACATCATATTCAAATGATAATCAGATTATATTACAGATTCCTTCTTCAAAAGAAATTAAAGATATTAAAGTTAAAAATATTAAATTGACAAATGTTAGGAGTAAGCTTGGCCATGAAATGAAAAATCTTAACAGTCATAAAATTACCAAAGATGTGAAACCTAAAGTTGAAGGCCAGGCAAAGGAAAAGAAGTGGCCTCATTTACTGGCCCAGAGGGAGAAGATGAAAGAACTGAACAGAAAATTTAGAGAGAATTCTGAAAAACCTGTCTTGGAGAAATGCCAGAAAAATCCGTTTTCTCAGGATTGTAATTCCAACAGGATAATTAAGGAACCCTTTGAATCTAGAAAGAAGATCAGCTTCAAAATCCCAATAAAATCTTGTAATACTTTCCAGAGGCTGGTAGAACAAAATGTCTTTAATTTTGAATCTAATAAGTCAAAGACTAAACAAGAGGGAAAAGGTGGCCTGGGAACCTCACGGGTTTCATTAAATTTGGCCAGGCACAAAACTGAACGCTTATTTTCAGATTCTTCTTGTAAGCATGAGTGGAAAGGAAAGCATCATCATCAGCGTCAAGAAAGTAAAGATTCAGTTTCCAAGGAACTGTTTACCCAGGTAATGCAGTACAAAATGAGGAATTTAGATTTAGCAAAAAAAAAAACAACCACACACACACACACAAATATACATACATATATAGAGAGGGGGTGGGGAGAGAGTAAGAGTGTGTCAGGATTTATTTATTTTTATTACTGATGATAATTAGAGGCCTGATTTAAATTTAGTCTGAAGATATGTGTTGGTTTCTTATTTCAGTCTCTTAATTACAGCTTCCTTAGGAAGATAACCTGGCAGGTATAGGGATCTATAATAAACGGGAATGTGTAAACGTGTGAAGAACAGTTACCAATAGTTCTTTGAATAAAGCATTGATAACAGTCTTTTAGGCTCTTTTTTTTTTCCTTCTCAGGTATTAATATTCTGAAGAGCTGATTCCTTTAACAGATTGTGTTTTCAGTGCCACTCTATGCCAGGCACTGCAGTAAAAATAGCCTGTGAAATGTACATAATCTCTGTTTTCAGAGGCTTATTCATGGAAGGAGACAATTTCTTTAAATATGATAAGTAAAGTACTTATCACTTAATGTTGTAATACACAGCCTTGCAAGGGGATGATATTTAAGCTGAGAACCAAAGAATGTTGGAGTTATTCAGGTGCAGATGAAGAGGGAGCCAATGGAGAAGCAGGAATGTTGGAGGCCAAGGGAACTCCCATAAGCAGAAGTTGAGGCTAAAAACTAGGCACATTATTTTGCTTCTAGATTGTATAATACAGTGGCATTTGTGGACTATGTTGAGAAGCACTCTCTATAGCTTTGTTTCTGTGACAGGTAAAATCCCTTAACGTTAAGGGAACTTTTAGAACTTTGGAACATCAGAACTTTAGAATTTAATAAATTCTGATATTTAGTAACTGCTTCTAAGTAGGGTGGTCAAACCTGCCTGCTTTTAGGTGTTAGGTAGTAAGATTCTTATGAAAAATGTAGGGATTATGCCTGTGCAGTAGCACATGTTTGTAATCCCAGCAGTTTGGGAGGCTGAGGCAGGAGGATCCTGAGTTTAAAGCCAGCCTCAGCAAAAGCAAGGTGCTAAGCAACTGAGTGAGACCCTGTCTCTAAATAAACACAAAATAGGGCTGGGCATGTGATTCAGTGGTTGAGAGGCCTTGAGTTCAATCCCCAGTACCTCCACCCCAAAAATGTAGGGATTATAACTAAGGAGGCGTAAGAGCTTGAGAGTGTGTTAAAGAGAACTTGAAGGGGCCCAGAAAGGGAAAGAATTGAGTTTATTCTTTTTACTGCTTTTGTAAAGGAAAAGAACCTCCAGTTTATCTTCTCGTGTTATAACCAGTTCTGTAGAGTAGAAGAAGTGAAGGGAACTTGAAATTGTCAGTATACTCAGTAATCATCATTGATCAGCATGCTTGTTCCCCATGTGCTATACATCTAAGGAATAGTATGAATAATCTCCGTAGTGCATTTTATAGTTTCTTTTCTTTTTTTTTTTTGGTACCAGGGATTGAACCCAGGGGTTCTTAACCACTGAGCCATGTCCCCAGACCTTTTTATTTTTATTTTGAGACAGGGTCTTGCTAATTGCTCAGGGCCTTGCCAAGTTGCAGAGGCTGGCTTTGAACTTGGGATTCTCCTGCTTCAACCCACTGAGCCATTGGGATTACAAGCATGAGCCAGCATGCCTGGTTTATAGTTTATTTTCATCTCTATGTAAAATTATTACACAAACCAAAAGAGGCATATAGCATGAATATTAACTTTTAAGGGAAGTAATTTTTGCAATCCTACTTTCCACTTATCAGAATTAAAACTATTAATTGTTGCTGTAATAGCATTATTTGACTTAAGAGTTGTTTAGATACTGAAGCAAATAAATATTGTCCTTGAGTATATTATCTTTAGCATATCATTGACAGGAGATAATACTGTGTTTGTTTTGTTTTACTAATTCCTTACAGCTACTTATTTTCCTGAAATGAGTGTACTTTATAAGGAACCAATTGTATTTTTCTGCATGTATTAATCCTGTTAATGATCTTATTTTGCTTTCGTAAATAGAAAATAACTTATTTTGTTTCTTAGGTTTTATAGTCCTTTGATATAAACCCCTATCAGTTTACTAACCCCCTTCCACCATTGCAAATTAATATTCTAGAGATTTATGTTTTTTTATGCTGCTTTTAAAAGTCTGTGAGATAGGAATTCATTAGTTTATCAAACATTAATTAAAGGAACTTATTATGTGTCAGATACTTCTTTTTGTGGTAGTGATTTGAGAAGTGAGTAAGAGAATCTTTGTCCTCAGATATTCTCAGGGGGGCAGATTGGTAAACAAATATAATTGCACTGCAATGAAGAAAATATCCAAGTCTTAAGAATTGGATGTGGTGTTACAATATAAATCTCTAGGTGGGTTAAGGAAGAGCTCACTAAAGTAGAGATTCCTAAGTTACTTCTTCAAGGATATGTAGAGAGAGGAATAGAAGTACTGACCAGCCATGTAGAGGGCCATTGTGTATAATGGCACAGAATTGGCAAGGTAAATGGGTGCTTAGGTTGTTTAGTATGACTAGAGTCAAGGTGTGTAGAGGATATATAGAAGAAAAAGGTGGATGGGAAGCCAGGGCCCAGACAGTGAATGCTTTTGTGTCTCATTGGAAACACTGGTATTTTATTTTGTGTCCTGTAGATGGAAGAGAGCCACTGAAAGGTAATCAGGGGCAATCAGGGATGGTTATGGTTTGGATATGAGGTGTCCGCCAAAAGCTTCTGCGTTAGTACAAGAATATTCAGAAGTGAAGTGATTACATTATGAGAGCTGTAACATAATCAGTCTGTCCTAGTTTAAGTGGACTAGGTGGGTGGTAAACTTTTGGCAGGTGGGGTGTGGCTGAAGGAGGTAGGTCATTGGGGGTGTGCTGGGGAAGGGTTCATCTTCTTCCGCCCCTGCCCCTTTCCCTTTCTCTCTGCTTCCTGGCTGTCATGAGGTGAGCAGTGCTCCTCTGCCACTTGATGCTCTACTTCACCCTGAGCGCAGAGCAATGGAGTTGGGTTGCCATGGACTGAACCTCTGAAACTGTGAGCCAAAATAAACTTTTTCTTCTTTAAGTTGTTCTTGCTGGGTAATTTGGTCACAGTGAAGAAAAACTGACTTAACACACACATTTTCTATTTAGAAGCATTTTGGTAGATAAAACCATTATTATCTTCATTAAATCCATTCCCTTTTGTCATCCCTAGGAAAGGCTTTATCTCGATCCCTGTATTTAATAAAGCATAGTAGGGAGAGGCAATCATTTGAATGACCACCAAGACTTTGATTTGTAATGAAAAAGAAATTATCAGGAATAGTTGACATCAACTTTTCTGGATTGATAGAAAATTCACTGAAGTCACTACAAGTGTCCTGTGGTCAAAGGGAAGTCAGGGTAGTAGCGGCTTAAAGAAGAAAAGGAAAATGTCAAGAGTTACAGGATATTTTGACAGCAGTCTAGCTTGCTTGGCACTACTTAATTTACGAAAATTAGAAAGACCTCTAGTAAGATTTAACGTGAAATGGTGAAGATATTTAAAATTCTATGATTATGGAATAGTAAAGCAATAATGAGCCTGTGTGTGTGATGTGTATGGGGTCATGTCATGTGAAGTTTGATGTTGGATAGTTAGGGTGGAAGCTGAATTCCCAGTAAAGCATTACTGCATATGACATACTTAGTTAAAGAGGGGCTATAATTTTTGTTTTAAATATGTATTTTTTTTAGTTATAGGTAGACACAATATCTTTATTTTTATATGGTGCTGAGGATCGAACCCAGTGACTCACGCATGGTAGGTGTGTGCGCTGTACCTCTGAGCCACAACCCCAGCCCAAGAGGGGCTATAATTTATATGTTAATAGTTCCTGTGAAATAGATGTGAGTTTGGAGTTATCTTGGAGAATTCTTAAATGATGATTTGGTTCAGCAGTGCTTTTGTTTCCTGTCTCCTGCATGTAGGGTCAGGTAGGATTTATCCACTCAGCCAAAGTGCTGGTGCAAAGTTGGAATTTTTGAAGATTTTCAATCTGTGGGTGGGTGGGGAAATATATATATATATGTTTAAAAAATATATATACATATTAAAAAATATATTCATTTGTTTATTATGTATTATATATATTTATGTTTATTTATATTTATATATTTATATTATACTTATAATTATTATTTTTATACATTTATTTATGTATATTTATATATTTATTATATATATATAACTTCTCAAGCTCTAACCACACGTAATAGAACCATATAGAATATATAATACAAGGAATTCATTGTCAGCCTTTTCTCCTTAGTCTTCAGGTTTTCTTTGTTTTGTCATTTTACTTAAAATGGCTAAGTGACTTGTAGATGAAAATTTTCTGCCACTAAAGGCCATCTTGATTATCTTTACCATGATTCCTTTTATTTCTTAGGGTGGAATGTGCATTTATTATTACAGTATGAGTGCTTTTAGGAATGCATGTATGAATGAATAAACCCTAATGAATTTCTCCCACATTTTATAACTGGGTGGAATTAGGTTTTTCTATTTTAGGGGTGGTGTCTCCTGGGGGCAATTTTATTCCACTGTGAACATTTAGTAATGTCTGGAAACATTTTTGATTGTGAATATTCAGAGGTGGGTAGGTAGTGTTACTGACATCTGGTAGGTAGGTCCAGAGATGATGCTAAACATCCTGTAGTACACAGGACAGCTGCGTAATAGAGACTTTTCTGACCTCAAATGTTAATAGTGCCAAGGTTGAAAAACACTACTTTAGGTATAGGGTTCTTTTCTTTCTTTTTTTTTTTTTTTTTTAATTTTTTTCTTAATTTTTTTTTTAGTTGTAGATGTACACATACCTTTCTTTTATTTATCTTTATGTGGTGTTAAGGATTAAACCCAGTGCCTCACGCTTGTTAGGCAAGCGCTCTACCACTGAGCCACAACCCCAGCCCTGTGTTTCTTTCTTTCTTTTTTTTTTTAGTTGTAGATGGACACAGTATTTTTATGTAGTTTTGAGGACTGAACCCAGTACCTCGCACACGTGAGTCAAGTGCTCTACCACTGAGCCACAATCCCAGCCCCTATATGTTTCTTTTTTAACTAATAACATTACTTTTCATTTCAGAGTTTTGAAACGCCGTGTTCTTCAATGGGACCTGAAAGTATTCAAGATACAGATCAAGAGGTTACTAATATACTTATTTACTTTGAATCTTTTCAATGAAAATCAGTCAGCCATTTCCTATTGTTAGTAAAATATCTATAAAATAGAAATATTAATAAAACGGTAACAATAATATCTCCACTTTAATCAATATGTTGGCTTTTATGAAGTCATCAAAAAACATTTTTGAAAAGTATTTCCATTTACTTGATCACCTTTTTGCCTTTGTTTCTAATAAGCTAATCTATTTTGAAAAACAGTATAGAGCCTTTTGGTCACAAAATCTGAGTTTTGGAATTAATGTTACTATGCTTTTTCATGTTTATTGACAAAATTCAATATGAAATTAATCTGGTTTTGCTTTTTTTTTTTTTAACTCGGCAATCAGATGAAATAGTTATTTTTTTTTTTTTTTTTTTTTTTTTTTAAATTTTAATATTTTATTATTTTTTTTTTATTTCTCGGCGGACACAACATCTTTGTTTGTATGTGGTGCTGAGAATCGAACCCGGGCCGCACGCATGCCAGGCGAGCGCGCTACCGCTTGAGCCACATCCCCAGCCCTGAAATAGTTATTTATTGAAAATAAATAAGAGTGCATGAATGTTTTCTCTTTTTACTTATTGCTTCATTTCCCAGCTATAATCTCCTGATTGACCCTCATAGAATATTGGGGATAATTGTATATTTTCTGGTCCCGAGTTAAAATTAAGTTCTCAAAACACTTTGTATTTTTCTGTTTAGGCTATATTGATAGCTTTTTGTTTGTACAATCAGTTGCATTTTTCTTCCTTGTGAGTAATGCCCCTTGATAGAAGATTTCTTATCTCTGCAGCTAAATTGAATTTTCATTTCTTTACACAAGAGTACATCAGAGAAGCACTTCCTGAAGTGATGAAGATCTTAAGATCTAAACATCTAGATTTCAATTTTGGATTGTTCATAAACAATACTAGAAATCTTATGAACTTCACTCATCATCTAGATAATAAGAAACTGTCTCTTAAGATACTTTGAAGTGAGAATAAAATGTCTTTTCTGTCCATTTACTAGGCTTTGTGCAAGGAGTTTCATGTAGCATATTTTATTTAATCTTCACAAAAAATCCTAAAAGGAATCAAATATTTAATATTTCTATTTTGTAGATGAGTAAACTGAGACACAAAATAGTGAAGTAATTCGCTTGCCTAAAGCTATAGAGGTAATAAGAGAAGAACTATTATGTGTATATTTATGAATCTGTTTTTTATCAACTTCCTGCATATTTGTATAAATTTTTTTCTTTCTACAAACTCTCAAGTGATTTAATTAAGAATTAATTGCTTTCTTATTAATCTGCAGAATAATAGTTCACTGAGGTCTTTCACAATTTAGATGCAGATAGTCGAAGAGCTTCATGCTGCACGCGTGGGGAAAAGTGTGGATTTACCTGTGGTACCACCTTCTGGAGAGTTAATGAGTATGGAAATTGACTTGGTGGAAGATGATGTACATTCCTCTGCTGGTATACCTATATGATAATGATTTCCTGTGTTTTCCTAAGAATTAATGTGCTAACATTTCAGTTTTACAATATTCAGATGAAAAATGTTAGAACTCGCTCATTCGAATGAAATCGGGTCTAATATTTTTCTTATCATTTGTTTTATGTCTCTCACATTATTAGGCAATTAGACTTATTTTTTCTTCCTCTTTTGCCAAGAAGCAATAATAAGACTTATGCATTGTTTTGTGGGAAAAGATAAAGATAGTCCAAAATCTATAGTATACTGTTTTGAGTTCTCTTTATAAAAATAGTAATACTATCTTACATTCACATTACATTTTTCACTTCAGTAGGTGTTTTTCTATGCATTAACTTATCTGATCTCACAAGGCCTTGTGAAATAACAATGCTAATATTACTGTATTTTCTTTATTTTATACATATTTTGTGTTGCAATTACGTTTTACTCAGGATATTTAAAATCAGCTTATACTTTCTAAGTGCACAGCCGGACAGGATGTATAAAGTTGTTCCTGCTGGGGCAAATCATTTTATGATTGAAAATAATTCTATAAACAATTTATGATAATCTTATGGGAGATAATTAAGCATTGATTACTACTCTTTCCTTCAAGAATTGGAGTAAAAGAAATTTTATTCTCCTTGTCTAAAGGACTTTCTTCCCTTTATGGAACGCTATTCAAAAACACTCTCCTATGCCATTCTCCATGTCTTAGCCCCACGACTTCCTGTGAATGTTTGCTTTGCACAGATCTTACCTTCTCTGACTATTTGGATCTAGCCAAGTTCCTCCTCCTCCTGCCCCTAACCCTCCTGTAGATTGTCCTTCTACAAACAAGGATTATGTTTCCTGCTCAGGGGAACCTTGATTGATTGGGTAGAAGTTTACATTACATGGCAACCAAGTGATGAACCAGCTTAAGAGTCTAGTCAACTGTGTGGGTCTCTTGCACAATTAAATTTATAAGACACACAGGGGTTTCAAAGTGAATTATCTACATTTATTGATACCAAAAGTTTAGACATTATTGTTGTCAAGTGTTGTGAAATCCTAACTTGGCTCTTTTTCTCTAGCAAATACTGATTCAGACAAAAAGCTTCTAATTGTTATTGACACGAATATTCTGATGAATCATCTCAAATTTGTTAGAATTTTGAAGACAACAGAAATACCAGGTATTTCAAAAACATATTTATAGATTTTGATTTTCCTTCTTGAATTAGTATTTACTATTAATAGTGATGTGGGCTTTATTCTTGCAAACACATCTCCTTTTGGATATGATACTAATTTTTTCGTTTTTGTGGTGCTGGGGATTGAACCCAGGGCCTTGTGCATGCGAGACAAGAACTCTTACCAACTGAGCTATACTTCCAGCCCTGGATATGATACTAATTCTAAGATGATCTCTTTGTTTATTATAAAATCATTTATATTAAGAACTTAGATTATAGGAAGCATATCTGCTAAACTCACTCTTTTTTTCTCTAGTTGCATTTAAAAAATACTCTGTGGATCCTTATATCCTCTTTTAAATTTTCATGTTCTATGTATTTTCTCTCTGTTGATTGTGAATTTCTAAGGGGTACTTTAAAACTTTCACTTCTATAGCAGTTTGATTTAGTAGGTCAATAAGTGTTTGGATTCTAAGAAATCTGTTTATATTTTAGGTTTTGATGGACTTGTGTTAATAATTCCCTGGGTTGTTGTGCAAGAGCTAGATCGTATGAAGGCAGGAAAACTACTAAAACATGCACAACACAAAGCTATACCTGCAGTTCATTTCATCAATGACAGCCTCAGAAATCAGGATGGATCGCTGTGGGGTCAGTCAATACAACTTGCATCTCAAAAACTTTGTAAGTATTGTTGTTTTAGGGTGCTCACTGATAAACATTTGTTAGGGTGCCTACTCATTATTGGAAGGAAATGGTGCAAAATGTTGTTTTACTCAGCAGTATGTGAAATGGAAAGGACCGTATGGTGGTTGTGGCTTTTTTTTGGTGGTACTGGGAATTGAACCCAGGGCATTCTTCCATTAACCTGGACTCTTAACCCCATTAATTTTTTATTTGGAGACAGGGTCTCTCTAAGTTGTTAAAGCTTATCTCAAACTTGTGATTCTCCTACTTCCATCTTATGAGGAGGAGGGATTATAGTTATATATCACCATACTTCACTATTTTACTCACTTTTGAAAAGTACCCAAACAGGTTCTCAAAAATGTTTATTGAATGTCTGAATATTTCATGGATATTCTTGAAATTTTAGCTGTATTTTCCAGAACCATATATCTTAGAAAAAGTGATAGTACAAATAATCTTGGTACCTTTAGATCAAGATACTATTCCCTTTAAATCTCTTTTTTGTTTGCTAAATTGAATTGTTTGAAGGTAACTAATGATTTAAACTGCCCATTTTGCATTATCCATGTTTCTTTGAACTAAAGAAAGGAAAATGGGCTGCTATGATTTGTGTCTCTGTGGCTCCCTGATTAAGGCCTGAGTTTCATTTTCCTCGGGCCCATGCCCTGATATAGTTGAGTTCTTTGTAGATTTTACTACCAGGTTGTGAACTCCTAAAGAGTTTATCTTTCAATATCTAGATGCTTAGCACAGGGATCTGGCACAGATTTGGCTCTATGTAAAAATTTATTGCAGAATGAGTGAGTTTTCCAATTTGAATGATCAGAGGTTTAAATAACATAGGCTAACAATTGAGAGGAAAAAAGGTTGAAAACTGAGAACATGGTTGAGGCTTATTGGTTAGTATATACTGAGTTTTAGTGTTTGGAGACTTGCCAAGAGCTTTAATGAATGTCTGGGTCCAAGCTCCAAATAGTTGTTTTTTTCTTTTTTCTTTTTGTGGTGCTGGGCCTTACGCATGCAAGGCAAGCACTCTACCAACTGAGCTATTTCCCCCGCCCCACAACATTTTTTTTATACCTTTATTTTATTTATTCATTTTTATGTGGTGCCAAGGATTGAACCCAGTCCCTCATACATGCTAGGCAAGTGCTCTACTACTGAGTCACAACCACAGACCCTCTAAAGAGTCTTATACAAAAGTAGATCTGAAGTATGTATGGTCCTGCAGTCTGTATTATTAACTAGCTCCTGTGGTAATTCTGAGGCAGGTAGTATGAGGGCCTTTAAGAAGCTTTATCTTAGGTCATATTCCTACAGTTGCATTATTTTCACAGAAACTGTATTTTTGCTATGTCTTTTAAGACTGGAAGCCTGTGAGTAAGCTGATTAACATTGTTAGAAGTCACTTTTTATGTTCTATCTAGGGTTCCTGTTTTCTTTCTCTGTGTGTCTCTAAATGTATTGCTTTAGAGCTTAAGGAAAGTAGATACCAGAAACAGATTCTGTTGCTGATAGAATAGCTGTGCAGAGATATTAAACAGATAATTTTTATTTAATTTTTTTAAACAGATAATTTTAAACATGATGTAATTATATAGTTAAAATCTGTATCTGAATTGAGACTAGAATTTATAGCATTCGATTTCTAGTCTTTTGTTTAGTCACTGATCACATTTCTTTGTATTTATTCATTAGGCACATCCTAGTCCATTTTAGTAGTAAACCAATCATTGTATTAAGTAAATAACTACATGTCATGTGAATCTTTTTTTTTTTTAAAGAGAGAGAGAGAGAATTTTTTAATATTTATTTATTTATTTTTAGTTTTCGGCAGACACAACATCTTTCTTTGTATGTGGTGCTGAGTATTGAACCCCGGGCCGCACGCATGCTAGGCGAGCGCGCTACCGCTTGAGCCATATCCCCAGCCCTGTCATGTGAATCTTGATCCAGATTTGTCAAGACGTTTTTTTGTTTTTTTATTTAAAAAGTCTTTTGTCTTTTATATATGATTTTTTTTTTTTTTGTACTGGGGATTGAACCCAGGGGCACTCAACCACTGAGCCACATTCCCAGCCCTATTTTGTATTTTATTTAGAGACTAGGTCTCACTGAATTGCTTAGCAGCCTCATTTTTGCTGAGGCTGGCTTTGAACTTGTGATCCTTCTGCCTCAGCCTCCTGTGCCACTGGGATTACAGGTGTATACACCTTGCCCGACTCTTGTATGATTTTTTAAAAAATATTTTTATTTGTAGATGGACACAGCACCTCTATTTTATTCATTTATTTTTATGTGATATTGAGATGCTAGGCAAGAGCTCTACCACTGAGCTACAACTCCAGCCATCAATTGTCTTTCATATACATTTAAAAAAATAAATTTAATTTTTTAGAGCACTTTTAGGTTCACAGCAAAATTACGCAGAAGGTACAGATATTTGCCATATGCCCCCTACTCCCACATATGCACAGCCTCCTTTATTCTGTATCCCCCACCAGAACAGTACATTTATTGCAACTGTGAATCTATATTGACACAGCATTATCACCCAGATTCTGGAGTTCACATTAAGTTCATTCTTGGTGGTGTATGGGTTTTGAGAAATGTATAATTACATGTATCCACTATTACAGCAGCATGCAGAGTGTATTCATTGCTGTAAAACTTTTAGATTTTTTTGATTTGTAAATACAGCCTAATTATTCATGTGATGGCCAGATTTCTAATGTGCTTATTGACAACTGCCTTTGTTAAATTTGCAGATGGACTGAGTGATGAGAACAATGATGATAGGGTATTAAAATGCTGTCTGCAGTACCAGGATTTATTCCCCTGTTCTCTTGTTATTCTGTGCACGTGAGTTTCATAATTTTACCATTAAAAAAAAAAAGCTTATGGTAAAGAATTTTTAAATTCCTATTATTATATCTATCAAATCAAGAATAAAGAAAACAACCATAATTTTCTGAATCTATCACTAAGCATACTCAGTTATATCTGAAAATGTGTTAGCTCTATAGTAATGAAGTCTTAATTGGATGAAGTTTGATTTCATTTTAATTTATGTACTATTCAGAAGATGTTTGGAAAAACAAGGAAAAAGTCAATATTAAAATCTGCCAGAACTTTTTAGTTGTGAGAGACAAGGAGGTTAGTTTCTTATGTATTTATGGGAAAGGAGGTAGTTTATATTGCAGTTTGGTTCTGGGTGCCTGGTATGGAGTTAAGACTGGATGGGTTGGAGTCCTGGGTCTGTCACTGGATGGCTTTGTGACCTTGAACAATTTACCCAATATAGTTTCTTCATGTATAAGAAACAGGGAGAATAATGCTTGTCTCATAATGTTATTTTAAGTATCTAACATATAGTATATGTCAAGGACTTAGTTGAGTGCCTAGTAGATAGTCAGATCTTAGTAAGTTTTTCACTTCTTTTCTCCTCCTCTTTCCCATTGATTTTTTTTTTTTTTTTTTTTTAATATTTATTGTTTTAGTTTTCGGCGGACACAACATCTTTGTTTGTATGTGGTGCTGAGGATTCAACCCGGGCCACACGCATGCCAGGCGAGCGCGCTACCACTTGAGCCACATCCCCAGCCCTCCCATTGATTTTTAAAAATAACTTAGTTCTGATATAAAACAGTATAATGCTAAGCAAAATTGTTACTCCTCTTAACAATTGAGAAAGGGATCTGAAAGTATAGAGGAGCAATTTTTTGCAATTTTAGTCTGAATATTATTCACACAATTTTATTCCATTGAAATTTATGATTATGTTCAAATTCTGTGTATGAAATTTAGTGATGATAGAGGTGAGTCACCCTAAGAGTTTTCTTATAAAGTGGGTTGGTCAATATTATTGTTTAGCTATTTTTGTAGACAATGTTATTCTTTTTGTTACTGAAGTAAATATTGGAGATTTCTATCTCAGTTTAAAATTGTGTTTTGATTGAGGACATATTACCTTCGAGCTTGTTAAAGGCCGAAATAAAATTTATAATATGTAAATCAATTTGAATTTGAGATAAATTGAATTTGAGAAATAATTGTTGTGTATTTAATAATTTTTAGTTCAGTTGAGAATGAAATTACATTGGTGAAACATTATAAGTCTTGCATTATTTATATCATCACTGTTTTGGGATTAACAGAAATGACAATTTTAGTGAAATTTAAATTGTAGCTGTGTCCTTCTTTTAATTCTTGCATTGTCTTGTTCTAGGTGGTAGCCTGTTTTTTCCTCTTTCCTATTCCCTTCCTTTCACTTTTCTTTTTCATCCATTTTCTTTCTTCCTTCTTTTTTTGGGGTTGGTTATTTCTTTTTTTCTGTAAACAGTAATCATTATGTGTGCCGTTTAAGTCTTACCTGTTGTGAAGACATATTTCTATTAAATAGATGATGATAGTGATGTTTATAGTTAATATCAATTGGTAATGATAGTAGTAGGAAAAACTCAACATGACTATATAATACTATACATCATCAAATGCTTTACTTAAATTTACATCCCTAAGTTTGGGCCTATAATCCCTAATTAATGTTTCCAGTCCATATTTCTCTCTCTCTCTCTCTCTCTTTTTTTCTGTGATACTTGGCAGTCAAATCCAGGGATGTTCTACCACCAAGCAACAACTCCAACATTTTCTATTTTTAAATTTTGAGATAGGGTCTTGCTAAGTTACTAAGGCTGGCCTCCAACTTGACAAACTTTCTTCCCAAGCCTCCTGGGTTTATAGGTATGCACCACAGTAACTGGTTCTAGTCTGTTTGTCTTCTAAACTCCAGACTTATATACTCATCTACTTACTTGTTATCTTTACTTATATTCTCATAGACATCTGAAACCTAGCATCACCAAAAATGAGCTCTTGGTTTTTACTTCTAAATTATACTTCATTTAAATGGAAAGTGCCATCTCTTACACATTTGCTGAATCCAGCAATTGAATTATTTTTAATAACTGCCTTTACTTCATAATCTGCATCCAGTTAGTCCTGTGCAGTCGTCTTTATCTCCCCCACCACTATCCTTTGTTAAGCCATGTTATATTTATTTTGTTTATTTTTTTCTTTTCTATTCTGAGATTCATTGTGCTATTCTCATACTTGTTCTCCTTCATTTATTCTTCAAAAAGTTACAATGGTTTCTTTTTTTTTTTGCAACAAGTTGTTTGTTGATTTTATAAGGGAACAGTTGTACACTCAGTAAATGACTCAAGAAGAGTAAAAATAAAATACACTTTAGTAATTAAGTTACAAAGTCAAATAAATGACCATAAATTTCATCTTGAGTTCTTTGACAAAACCAGGAATTATGACTCAAATAACAATATTTATCTGCTAATACAAGGAATGAAAATCCTTATTATCACTGGGATGTTGCTAAACCTTTCAAAGATAAGGAACTATGAAATTTTTCCATTTAATTTGAATATTGCTCTAAAAGCTATGATTCAAACAAAACACACCAAGAACAGCTCAGTTCCAAAAAGAAAAGAAGGTAGAATGAATTGGCATGGAACTAACTGAATTATCTACATAGTTACTTATATCAGTTCTGATAACCTCAGAAGATTTTTACTTAGCCTGCTAGAGGAAAGCTATGGCATGAAACCCTACATAAATCGCTGCCTCAAACTTTATAGCAGTGAGGGGCTAGGGTTGTGGCTCAGTGGTAAAGCACTCGCCTAGCACTAGTGAGGCCCTGAGTTTGATCCTCTGGTTTCTTATTTTTAATTTTTTAAAATTTTTCGTTATGGAGAATGTTAACATTTACAGTGAAGAAGAGTTAATAAACTCTTCATTACCCAGATACAACAATTATTTAGATTCTGTCATTGTTACTATATTTCTGTACGCTTCACATCCTCCAACATGATTATTTTTATTTAGTTTTTTTTTGTATTTTGAGTAAATATGTACTTAAATTGAAATGCAGTTATTGATTATTGAATGTTGGCAAATGGATGCCACATCTGGTATAGGCCACATCTCTCTTAATATATAGGATACTTCCATTACTCCCAAAGTACTCACATGTCCCTTTGTGTTTTCTCATTTCTTAAGGTAGAAGTTAGATCACCTGAGATAGCTATAAATTTCCCAGTAAAAACTGTTTTAGTTTTAGTTCACAAATTTTATGTTATATTTTTATTTTCGTTCAATTCAGTCTACTTTATAATTTCCCTTGTGACTTTCTCTTTGACTCACAGGTTATGATGTTTGTGGCTTAAGTCTAAATATTTGCAAAATTTTCTGATATCTTTTTGGTATTGAATTAGAGTTTAATTCCATTATGGCTTGAGAGAATAATTTATATAATTTCTATTCTTCTAAATTTTCTAAAGTTTTTTTTTTTTTTTTAATGGCCAAGATTTTGGACTGTCTTGGTGTTTTATGTGCCATTGATTCTGCTCTTGTGGATAGAGTGTTATATATAATTTCAATAGGTCTTCTGTAACCTTGCAGCTTATGTATCTACTTCTGTGATCACTGAGAGAGGAGTATTGAAATCTCCAACCTTTGATTGTAGATTTGTCTATTTCATTTTCCAGTCTCATTTGTTTTGCTTCACTTAACTATGCAAGTAATGAAGCCTGCTTGATGAATTGGGGAATGCACTCAGGTGAAAAAATGGAAGCTTGTAGTGAGAGGCATACATGTTTTGTTTCGGATTGTCTTCTTAAGAGATCTGACCCTTTTATCATTATATGATGCCCTTATTTGTTCTTAATAATACACCTGATTATGAAGTCTCCTTTGTTAAGTATTCAGCTATTTTAGCCTTTTTTTTGGTTAGTGTTTATATGGGATATCTTTGCATTCTTTTTATTTTTTATCTATGTCTTTATATTTGAAGTAAATTTCTTGTAGATAACATATGCAGCTGTCCCTTGGTATCTGCAGGGGATTGGTTCCAGGACTCCTACAGATTCCAAAATCTGTGTCCCTCCCTCAGTGCAGACGCTAACATTGCTTATATAAAATGGCACATTTGCGTATAACCTGTGTATCTCCTCCATGGAGATGTTAATATTCCTTATATAAAATGATGTATTTGCATATAACCTATGCACATCTTCCTGTATACTTTTAATCATCTCTTAAGTTACTTATGATCTACTACAATGCAAGTGCCATGTAATTAGTAATACTGTTTAGGGTGCAATGCTATATAAATAGTTACACTGTTTAAGGAATAGTGATAAGAAAAAATTGCAAACATTCAGTATAGATGCATTTTTTTCCTTAATATTTTTAATCCTTGGTTGGTTGAATTCATGAATGCTGATTATAGTTAGTTTGTTCTTTTTTGTTCAATAACAATTATTTTTCTCCCAGTACTGGGGATTGGAGTCAGGGGTGCTCTCCCTTTGAACTATGTCCTTTTTTGCTTTTATTTTTTATTTTGGATTGTATATTTTTAAGTGCTATTTCATTATATTTATGTTGATTTATTTATACTCTTTTGAAGAAAAACTTCATATGGTTGCTCTAATGTTTATAATATACGTCCTTACTTTATCAAAATTTATCATGAAATAGTATTATATTTTCATATGTTATAAAGTAAGGATCTTAAAACAGTATATAGGACTAGGGATATAGCTTAGTGGTAGAGCACTTGCCTAGCATATGTAAGGCCCTGAGTTCAATCCCAGGTACCAAAAAGAAAACAAACACCAGTATGTGTATATATATGTGTGTATGTATGTGTGTATGTATATATATATATATATATATATATATATATATATATATATATATATATATATAGTCCCATAGCTCTTGAATATTAAAAAAAAAAAAACCTCAATATTATTTTTATTCACTTTGATTTCTTTTCGTCTGTCTTCAGATTTGATGATTCTTTTCTTTACCTGTCAAGTTTTTTGATGAACTATTGAAGTCATTATTAATTTTTGTTACTGTTTTCTTATTGCTGGCATTTCTATTTCATTCTTTCTTGTGATTTTCTTCCTTTTTTTTTTTTTAAAGAGAAACCTTTGGGGATAATCTCAGATTCAGTCTTTCTTTAAGAGAGAGAGAGAGAGAGAGAGAATTTTTTTTAGTTTTTGGCGGACACAACATCTTTGTAGGTGGTGCTGAGGATCAAACCCGGGCTGCACGCATGCCAGGCGAGCACGCTACAGCTTGAGCCACATCCCCAGCCCTATTGTGATTTTCATGTCTGTTGAAACTACCTGTCTGATTTTGTATTCTATTCATCTGTTCCATTAGACTCTTTAACTTTTTTTTTTAATTGTATTTTAGTTGTAGATGGACCTTTATTTCATTTATGTATATGTGCTGCTGAGAATCAAACCCAGTACCTCACATGTTAGGCAAGTGCTCTGCCACTGAGCCACAACCCCAGTCCCTAGACTCTTTAACTTTTAATCTGAGTTATTTTATCTCCCCAGAAGAATGGCTTCACTGTCTCTCGTTTCTGAACATGGTTCTGTTGACTGCTTTGTCTCTTGGCTGTGTGTTTTTTTTTTTTTTTTATCCTGGTCAGATTATATGCGGATTTGGGGGCTTACTTGCTCTCTGATTTCCTTTATTCTGTTTCCTCCTTAACTTTCTAGATGTTCTAGTCATTTGTACACATGGTTCTCTGATATTTCCAGTCACTGAGGCTGTGGCTTTCTGTTGTCATATGCCATAGTGAATGGAAGAGTGCCTTAAGCAAAAAAGAGAGCACTGTATAACTTCCCTAATGTAGCCTGTATCTTGAATTTAAACTCTCCTTAGGTTCCTTCCACATGTTACTTACTTTCTAGTGCCTTCAGGTGGTTAGTTTTTTTTCCTCATTTTTTGGTTCAGATTTTGTAATTTTTTATGCAGTGGGAAGGTTAGTCTGACCAAGCTACTCTGCAGTAATAGCAGCTGGAAACCTCCTGGGCTCCAGAGTAACAATTTAACCAATGATGTTGCTTCCCCATTGAGGCCCTTTTATATTTTTTCATTATTATTGTCCTAGCCTTTCTCTGTAACCTCATAAACTGGTCTCATGCTGTGTTCTAATCACACTGACTTCCTTGAGCAAACAGCAGATTCACATTACTTGTTTCATGCTCATTCTGAGTAAGTTTGCAATTGTCTGCTCTGTGTAAATTATTTCTCCTACTATGGTTGTTAATGTTTATTTCTCTTTGGATGAACATATACCTGTGTTCAAATTTGATTCCCACATACTGTATATGATCCTGGACAAGTTACTTAACACCTTTATATCTGTGTTTCTTTTGTTAAATGATGATAAAATTGGGGCTAGGGCTGTAGCTCAGTGGTAGAGCATTTATCTAGCATGTGTGGCATTGGGTTTGATCCTTAGCATCACATAAAAATAAATAAAATAAAAGTCTAACTACAACTAAAAAAATATTTAAAAAACAAAACATCAAATTCTTTTTAAAAAAATGGTGGGGACTGGGGATGTGGCTCAAGTGGTAGTGCGCTCACCTAGCATGCATGAGGCACTGGGTTCGATTCTCAGCACCACATAAAAATAAAATAAAGATATTGTGTCCACCTAAAACTAAAAAATAAATATTAAAAAAAAAGGGTGATAAAATTGGTACCACTTCCTCAGAGGTTTGTTGTAAGGATTCAGTAAATATAAATATATCTAAATATCACTTAGAATGGTACCTGGTGCCTGGGAAGCACTTTAGTAAATAATTATTATTCTCCAAAATTTAATGATATGACTCTACTATGTAAAAATTTCTTTATCATCTCTATTTATAGAGAAATTATTATTCTTTGTTAATACATGTACTGAGATTTACCAGCCTATGAGTAGATCTCATGTATTTTTGAATTGCCATATGATTTATCTTATAAAACAATATTTTTCCCCTTCTAACCTCAACCTCAGCGATGATAGAAATTTAAGAAACAAAGGCCTAATAAGCGGTGTGAAGTCACTCAGTAAAGAAGAATTGAGTGGAGAGCTGTGTAACTTATCTCTGAACACAGATGTGTGTCATCAGCCTTGTGTTTCTAAGCAACGATTGAAAGCAGGTAATATTTTTATTGTGAATAACTGGAAATATATCTTTTATGTTCTAAAATTAGTAATAATATTTCAAGTTTTAATCTTGTACTTTTAAAATGACATTAGATTTGGAATACTTGCTGGCATTTAAATCCTACAAGTAAATGAAAATTATAATACTAATACAAAAAATATCATAAACATGACATTCTGTGTATACTTTTACAGATTAACTTGATTTTAACCATATACTCGCATATAGTTTTACGTATTTATTTAAAATTTTTTTAAACATTTTTTTTTTAGTTGTAGGTAAACACAATACCTTTATTTTAGTTTTGTGTGGTGCCGAGGCTCGAACCCAATGCCTTACACATGCTAGGCAAGTGCTCTACCTCAGAGCTACAACCTCAGCTCTAATTATTTATAATTAATGTGTGCATGCTCATTTGTACCTTGCAAAATATGCCTTTTAAATTAGTAGTAGCTAATAAGAAATAATCATTTCAAGTGGGGAGACTAGTTTCTTTTTAAAATTAGCTTCATATTTATAACTTCCTATTAATGCAGTAAAAACCTCAGCTAGTAATAATTGAGAAACTTTTAAGACTCTAATAAGACTTTTTCTAAAATTTTAAACTAATAAAAAAGAAAAGTAAAAGCAATACTGTTGTCTTACCTTTCTTTAACCAGAATAATTTCTTCTGTGGCTTGATAATTGATAGAATATTATATTAAATGACATCATGTATAAATATATCCCACTTTTTCCCTCTGTGGAAAAGTAATTATTGAGGTCTTTACTAGATTGTACTTTTTATATATAAATGCACAAATATTTATACTTATACTACCTATTTGCCCTTTTTTGTGAATAGCACACATTGTCGTAATATTAAAAAAAAGGCATTGGGGGGAATAACAGGATATTCTAGTTTATGGTTTTTCAGGGATCATGTGCTTTTGGTTTGCCCATTATTTTAGTGTCATTTTAAATTCTTAGTTTTTATTTGTAGAGATAAACCACTTAAAGATCTTTTTAAAGGGGAGGGCATGAAAATGCTTAAACCAGAAATTTTAGTCCTTTCAGAATAATTTATTGATGTGAGCTGAGTTTAAAAATGTGTACTATTTTGGAAGAAAACTTGCTTCGTTGCAGTTTTTAGTTTTCTTTCTTTTTTAGTTGAAGATGGACACAATACCTTTATTTTATGTGGTGTTCAGGCTTAAACCCCGTGCCTCACATCTGCTAGGCAAGCACTCTACCGCTGAGCCCCAGCCCCAGCTCCAGTTTTTAGTTTTCTATTGTAAATAAATTCAAGGCTCTCTTGTAACTCTCCTTTGTTTTGAAAATAATAATATTAATTGTAGTTAAAAATCACATTTTTTTTTTTCATTTCCATTGGAGTAAAAATATTTAGTTCCCTTTTTTAAAAAGATAAAACATTGGCCAAAATAGTATATTTATGTTGCATCTAAAATGACTATAGTAGAAATGCATGTTTCTAAGTTAAGTATTTCTAGGTAATTCAAATACTAATTACATATGAATTGTTTATTATTTATGACCAAATACTACTTATTTATAATATTTACTTTTAGTGCCCTAAGTAAAGCCTGTTAACTATTTGTTTTAAAGAAGCAACACCAGTAGAAGAGAGCTCTGATGAAAAGTCTACAAATTCAGGACTGTCCATTCTACTTGAACGCATAATATCTGATCTTGAAAAATCTCTTGGAACAGCTTTATCTTCAATATTAGAAACAGAAATGAAAATTGCTTTTGGAAACCTTTGGATGGAGGTGATTAGTTCAACTCTATTAATTGAAAATTTCTTTTTTTATTATTGAAGATTTGTTATTTTAAGAGATAACTATATCACATCAATCTTTTTCTCCATGCTTTTGAAAAAACTTTGATGGTTAAATGATATATGTTTTAAGGTTTGGGAATACATATTGTCATTTCTTTTTATCAGTCAACATGTATCTATGGCACATATATTGTGTGTCAGACACACTGCCCCATGGAGCTTAAATTGAATCCAGAAAAACTTTACTCTTTAATTTCTTTTGAATCAAAATGTCTGATATAAGGAATCATGTCAGATATTTTTCATTAAAAAAGTGTATTTTTGGCTTATGCCATGTAAACATGAATATCAGAGTACAAATTTATCTCATTAAGACATTTTGAATTTTCTTCCTTTTTTTTTTTTTTTTTGTGTGTGTGTGTGTGTGGTGCTGGGGATTGAACCCATGGCCTTGTGCATGAGAGGCAAGCACTCTACCAACTGAGCTATCTATATCAGCAGCCTTAAATTTTCTTTAGGTTAATATTTTTCCTTCAATTCAACAAAACACCTAATTTAGCAATTGTGATCAGTTTAATCTTTGTTTGATTTTTCACATTTATAGTTACCAGAAACATTATAGCCCATTAATTGTAGCTTGCATCTTGATCCAGCTTTTCAGTGAAATTCTAATATCTTCCATTCTGATATCTTTGCTACTTAATGTAATAAATAATGTAATAATCAAATGGTGAACCAAGAGGATGAAGAATGATAAGATTCTAGGAGGGTTGATTTAAGTTGGATATTTCATCGTAGACATATGAATGACTTAAGACAAGGAGCTGTGACTTCTTTTTTTTTTCCTTTTTGTAGTTGTAGATGGACAGCATGCCTTTATATAAATTGTTTATTTTTATGCGGTGCTAAGGATCGAACTCAATGCCTCACACATGCCAGGCAAGTGCTCTGCCACTGAGCTACAGCCCCAGCACCACAGCTGTGCCTTCTTATCGAAGTAAATGATCAATTATTCTCTTTGACATCTTTTTTCTACATAAAATTTTTCCCCCAGTTCTATAAAACAATTAGATTGATTTCTTCATTGAAATGATTATATTGAAAAGTAGATTGAGGGATCTTAACTGATTAAAACTATGTTTCCTCTCTGATTGGAACTAGGCTTTCTTTTTGGACTCATGGTTCCAGAGACCACAAATATTAATAGTAATATGAATTAAATAGTGTAATGGAATTATTTTAAGATGATTAGTTTTTAATAAAATATCTTTTAATTTAAAAAGAATTCAACTAATTGTATTTTCCCCTAAAGTATTTGTAGGAATTCCTAAATAGATGTGTTTGAATAATTGGAATAATCAATAAATTCATAGATGTTAATCTTCTTAAATACTTTTTAGATGCTGTACTTGAAACCACCATGGACTCTAATACACTTATTACAGTGCTTTAAAAAACATTGGTTGGCTGTGTTTGGATTAGTTATGGAAAAGAACTTGCTTTTAACTGTTGAGAACCTATATGAAAATCTCTGTAGAGGTATGGATCTTTTTTTCCAATATTACATTAAAGTATTAATTCAAATCAGCAGATATATTCCATGAGATGTAAAGATGAATTAAAGAAGTTTGTGGATTAGCTCCTAACAGAGTTCATTCTTAATTTTTATTTGAGGGTCTCACTAAGTTGCTGAGGCTGGCCTTAAACTTGGGATCCTTTTGCTTCAGCCTTCTGAGTGGCTAGATGCTTTAGACAGTTTTCCATTGCTCTGACTAAAAGACTTGATAAGAACAACCAAGAGCAGGAAAAGTTTATTTTGGCTTATTTTTTCAGGGGTTCAGTTCATGGTCAGCAGAGTCTATAGCTCTGGGTCTAAGGTGAGCCGAGCATCATTCATTGAGCGAAGGGCGAGAAGGAGGAAAATAGCTCAGGACATGACATGCAGGAAGCAGAGAAAGAGCTCTGCTCATCTGGGACAAAATATACCCCAAAGGCACACCCTCAGTAACCTACCTCCACCAGCCATACCCTACCTATCTACAGTTACCACCCAGTTAGTTCCTGTCAGTGATTTAATTCACTGATATGGTCACAAATAATAATCTGATTACTTCACCTGTGAGCATTGTTGCATTGTCTCACACATGAGCTTTTGCCAGACATCACATATCCAAAACAACACTGGGATTACAGGTGTATGCTACCACATTCATGGCTGTATTTCCAATTTCTAAAGGGAGTTTGCAGCATTGTTGATGTTCTTAGATATTGTGAATATATAATATTTTTTTGTACTGGGAATTGAACCCATGGCCTCCTGCATAGTAGGCAAGCTCTGTACTACTGAACTACATCTCCAGCCTGTGAATGTATGATTTTTAATGTGTTCAGTTTGAAAGCTTTTAAAACTGTATTTATAGTCTGTTCAGTTATACAAGTAGAATTAATTATAGTTTTTTGTTTTTTTTTTTTCATTTCTCACCATGTTAGACACAAACTTTGAATCCATTCTTGTATGTATCAAGGATCTAAACCATATGAAGAAGGAATAGGAAATCTTTTTATTTATTTATTTTTATTGGTTGTTCAAAACATTAAAAAGCTCTTGACATATCATATTAGGAAATCTTTAGTTTTGGAACATAGCGAATTTTAGAACTGGAAGAGATGACAGTGAATCGCTGAGTTGGTGGTTTTTAAACCATGCTAAATAGAACTTTCGATTTCTAGGTATACCTCTGCTGCCACCTGTAGGTAGGGGGTGGCAAGAAAGGTGAGGGGAGCCTGGTAGGTAGGTGCTGCATTTGGACTTTAACCCCAACATTAGCCAGAGCAGCCTTTTTTGTTGTTGTTTTCTGAATCTGTTCAATTCCATGTAGCAGTTGAAAAAGAGTTTTTCTGTTATGAAGAAAAAAAATATGAAAAGTGCTGATCTGATTTGATTAAAGCTTATGTTTTATGATCAAGGAAATTAGCTGAGATGGGAAAGTAACTTGTCCAAAGCCAAAGAGCTAGATTTGTCTTTCTATACCTTTAAAAGGTAAAGTATGATCATTATTACAGGTTCAGATGGTTCTTAGCTTTTTTTTTTAGAGAGACAGAGAGAGAGAGAGAATTTTTTAATATTTGTTTTTCAGTTCTCGGCGGACACAACATCTTTGTTCGTATGTGGTGCTGAGGATCGAACTCAGGCCGCACGCATGCCAGGCGAGCGCCCTACCGCTTGAGCCACATGCCCAGCCCCTAAGTTCTTAACTTTTTTGAAACTCCTCACATGATCTGTTCTGTTTATTGTTTTATGTATTAGTTATATTCAGTCTACTTCTAAAAACCAACTGTGGTGTCTTGTAATAACTTGACTACAAGAGGATTATTAAGTTAGGCTTAAAAGCACAAAAAACAGCCAGGCATGGTAGTTCATGCTGGTAATCCCAGCAGCTTGGGAGGCTGAGGCAGGATCGTGAGTTCAAAGCCAACCTCAGCAACAGCAAGGCGCTAAGCAACTCAGTTTATTTATTTATCTAAATAAAATACAAAATATGGCTGGGATGTGGCTCAGTGGTCTAGTGCCCATGAGTTCAATCCCTGCTACCATAAAAAGAAAGAAAAAAAAAAGCATAAAAACCATGTAATGAAGAATAAGATTAATTTACCATATTTACTAAAGAAACATGCACAATTATTGGAACACTTTGGCATATATTTTTAACAATAAGCTTCCTAGAGGCTATGATACCCGCTCCTTGCAAAAAAGGCATATTCTAGGTAGTTATACCTCTTTCTCTGTCTCTCCTCTCTAGTGTAAGCTCTTTGAAAGTATTTTATAGTGTTCAAAATTCCTTCTAGGATATTTAAAACACCTGATGTATCTTATCCATGGTAGCTATTGAATGAATATCTGCTGTTAGATGTTACCAATTTTTTAACAAAAGACTTTTGTGGCATTTCCTTTAAGTATAGATGTTATTTATTAGGGCTATTATTTTATAAGGGACATGGAACAACCTTAGTTGGACATGTCTTCAGAGCAGTTTTGCTAAACGTGTGGAAACATTTTTCATATAGGGATATAATTTAGTCTTTTAAAAGGGAGTAAAGTGTGCATTTTATAGAAAGGTTAGTTTTAAAAATGGGTATCTAGTTGCTATCTTCTATTTTCTAGGGGTGGGCCTTGTTCTGCTCTTTCATGCACCTGAGAGATGATAGGTAACAGCTCTAAATGGTAATAGGGAAGGAAGTGAAAAGGAAGGGACTACCTCCTGCTTAAAAATTATTTTTGCATTCTTTGTGTGCATAGTTTATTGGTCCTTGATCTAGAAGAATCTGAAGCCTATTTTTAGTGACTTTTGAAGAATACATAGTGGGATTATAAAAATACTTACTATTTTAAAATAACTTGTAATTAGAAAAAAATCTCAATTTATAATTTTGTTTATCTTAGTAGTATCTTTAGCTGTTGAATTACATAGATGTGTCTAAAATTTTGTGGAAAGTGACTAATAATTTTTATCAGCTTTGTTATCCAGATTAATTTTACTCTGAATAATTATTGACCCATATAAGTCTTAAACTATTTCATCCATATTGATTTTTGTATTGTATCTTTGTTCTCAGTTTATCATTGTTATTCCCTTTTCCCCATAATCTTTGTAAACAAATTTTGTAAGATAGGAATTATTAATCCAAGGACTTAAGCTCTACTAAACATGGACTACATTGGAGAAGCACCCTTAAAAGAATCTGGGTGCAGTGGCGCACACTTATAATCCCATGGGTCAGGAGGCCGAGGCAAGAGCATTTCAAGTTTAATTCTGTCCCAAAATAAAAAATAAAAGGAGCTGGAGATGTAGCTCAGTGGTAGAGTGCTCCTAGTTTCAATCTCCAGTACTACACACACATACACACACATGAAAAGAAAAGGGAGGATAAAAAGCTATGCCCAAATATGTCTTTCTCAGGATGGGGTTGTGGCTCAGTGGTAGAACTCTTGCCTAGCACCTGTGAGGCACTGGGTTTGATCTTCAGCACCACATTAAAAAAATAATAATAATAATAATAAAATAAAGTTATTAAAAATGTACTTTTAAAACTTAATTTGATTTTTCATAATTTCAAAAGCAACTTCTTGTTGTGTAAGTAATAAAGAGGAATATTTTTAACTCCTATTGCCAATGAAAAATCATGTTGTGAATATCAAATTGTGAACATTAAAACAAAAACAAAACAAACACATTGTAGCATGGTTATTTTGCTTTTGAAAACTGTTAGATTGTATTATGCCTTAATAATGGAAAAAAATTTCTTTTTTTTGAGTTTTGTGACAATAGCAATTTACTTAATTTTATTGTTCATAACTTTATTTTTAATTTTCATTCATGGCTGTACTAGGGATTGAATGCAGAGGCAGTCTACCACTGAGCTACATCCCCACACATTTTTATTTATTTTAAGAGAGGTTCGTGCTAAGTTGCTAAGACTGGCCTCCAACTTGTGGTCTTTCTGCCTCAGCCTCTTGAGTTGCTGGGATTGCAAGTGTGTGCCATCATGTTGGCTAGTTTGAGAGTTAATGTAAGCAGTTGTAACTCCTTAAAAGAAAATTGTTGTACTTTAAATTACTATTTGTAGACTACCTTACTTTAATTTACAGGAAAAAAACTGTTTGCTTCTTTTGCTTCTCGCTGATATCCAAATTTTTATTTTCTGCTGATATTTTGGTGTACACACCAAAATATAACACATTTTCAATACATTTAGTATGAAGTTTCTTATTTTGAAGGTAAATCACTACATAATTAATTGATCATGACAGGGACCACATGTAATTTACATGTTTGCCATTAAGATGGGACTCCCCTTTTCCCTTCATAATAATTTGAATGTGAAATGGCTTCAGTTTTGAAAATCTGTGGTTTAACTTGTTCAGTGATTGTTTCTTTTCTCTGAAAATGTAATGTTCTTTTATTTGACTTTGACTTTGAAGTTGGACCATGTTGAGGGAACTCCTGGAATCTGAATACAGAACACCAGTCAACTTGAAGGACTTTGTGTATAAACATTTAATTGTTGCTTTTTATATAAGAGGGATGGATTAGGAGTGGTATATAGATATAAATGTATACTCTTCTTAAATTTCAAAGTAGTATTAGCATAATGTCCAGAGTCATTTTGTGTTGTATACTCACTCTTACATGGTTTTCTTTCTTAAATTTCTCTTACCAGCTAATAAGGCAGTGGATTTTACAACAGTGAAATTCCTGCTTCAGGATTCTAAAAGTTTGTTACAGGCTTTCAGTACAAGGTCAAATTATGATGGTATTCTTCCACAGGCCTTTGCTGAAGTGAACAAACTGCTCCAAACATGTACAGAGGTAAGATAGCTTGGGAATGCCATTTAAAGTAGCTGGTCATGTGTTCTAAAAATGTGTTTAGCAGACAACAGTAGTTACAGGATAATTTAATTCTAACTAAGGCTGACATACTAAAGCCATTAAATAAATATTAAGTAAATTGAATTGGGTATAAGCAACTCTTATCATTAGTTTTGAAATGCACATCCTTTTACTGAAGAAGTGTCACGTGTCACATCAGTTGCTGGTATTTTATATTAACTCATTTATGGATAGAAGAAAGCTATTGCGCTATTTATTTCCAGTGCCCTAAGCCAGTGACTCTCACATGCATTAAAAACCAATAGGAGATGTTTTTGAACATGCAGATGCTAAGAATCTATTAAGTTTTATATAGCAAGGTTTTTCCAGTGATGTCCAGTTCTATTCTTTTTTTATTTTTTATTGAGAAATAATTGCAAAATTAAGAAAAAGTTGCAAGTGTGATACAAAAATATTCCTGAATAAATTCTTTAGCCTGAGTCCCCAAATGTTAACATTTTATTACATTTGCTCTGTTGTTTTCTCTGTCAATCTACATATCTACCCATATGGTTTCTCCAAGCTGTATTATATTGATCATTTGTTGAAGATATGATGCCCCTTTACCTTGAAATATTTCTATGTGCAATTACTTAAAAACAAAAAAAGAATCTTATGTGTTACAGGCTAATAAATCAGGAAATTAACATTGATAAATACAGTTGTCTAATCTGCAGACCTTATTCAAACTTCACCAATTAACCTATGAATTTGTGTGTGTGTGTTTTTCTGGGGATTAAACTCAGGACCTCATACATGTCAGGCAAGTGCTATACTACTCAGCCACATGAATTTTTTTAAACAAGTGATTTTTTTTAAAACATTTGATTCTTTTGCAGTTACCCTCCTACTGATACTGTTTTATGATATTTAAACTTAACTATGTAAGTTTTGTCCCAAGTAATACCTTATTTCTTCAGTCTTCTAATTTCAAATTAGAAAACCCAGGGAGTTATATTATGTGTCAGAAACAGCTTATAAAACCCCAGTGTCATAACTACTAGGGGATATATTAATGGAACTTTTATCTACTATATATTATAGAATATGTATATATTAAAATGTAATATCTATGTACTTAACATGTAATATATATCTTCTATAAGAATATTACCTTTTATAATTATATATTATGTAGCATATAAGTTGAACTTTATATTATATAAAATATATACAAAATATCATGTTCTCCTTTTTCACTGCAGAACTGAATTGGGTGGGTTTATCTCACTGATTTTTTTTTTTCTTTTTTGAGGGGGTACCAGGGATTGAAGTAGAGGTACTCAACCACTGAGCCACATCCCCAGCCCTATTTTGTATTTTATTTAGAGACAGGGTCTCACTTAGTTGCTTAGCACCTCCCAATTGACAAAGCTGGCTTTGAACTCGTGATCCTCCTATCTCAGCCTCCCGAGCCACTGGGATTACAGGCATGCGCCGCCAGTTCTGGCTATCACATTGATTTTTCATGGTCAGATAGGCCCACTACCTATGAAATAATTGTAGGATTAGATGACACTAATCTTAGTTGCTGAGAAAAAAGAATTTACTTGCTATTTAATAAAATAACTCAAGGAGTAAAAGAAGCATCTTTTTAAAAATACATATTAACTAATAGGAAATATGTGATCATTTTTGAGGAAAGAATTAAGGGACATATTAAGAGATGCATCAGATTTGATAAATTTTTAGTAATGTCTCAGTAACTTCAGAAACAGTAGATTACTTCCAAAGATAGAATAGCTCAATATAGTAATGATTAAAAAAAAAAAAAATTCCACCTCCTAATTTATCAAGTGTAGAAATTTTTTTAAAATGTTCTTTTGGTTTAATATAACGAAAACATTGGTAGTTTTTTATTTTTTTTTATGGCTTGTTTGACTTTTTAAACCATTAGGGAAGAACAGACTTGGGAATTTAAGGGGTCACATCTTGATTGTTGTACTTGGATTGTATCAGGAAAGATATCTCTTCCCATCACAAAATTGAGTCATAAATCATGTTTTTAGTGAAACAAATGCAGTGATACTAAGAAGCTTAGTTTTTTTAAAAAATATTTTTCAGTTGTAGATGAACACACAGTATCTTTATTTATTTTTATGTGGTGCCGAGAATCGAACCCAGTGCCTCACACATGCAAGGCAAGTGCTTTACCACTGAGCTACAGCCCCAGCCCCTTAAATTGTTGTACCATAAGTTATTCATTCTTGAATTTTCAGTGTCTACATTAGCAAAATTCATGAAGGTGATTAGTGAAGAATCTAGGTGACACCCTCATTATTTCCTTTCTTAACACTTGACATTAGTGCAATTGCTTGAAACTGTTTGTTGTTTCCAGGATTAGAGCTTTAAAGTGTTGTTCCTAAAGCTTGGCCTGGTGGTGCATGCCTTTAATCTTAATGACTGTGGAGCTTAAGGTAGGAGGATCACATATTTGAGGCCAGCCTCAGCAATTTAGCAAGATCTTGTCTCAAAATAAAATATTAAAAGAGCTGAGGATATAGCTCAGTGATGAAGTGTCCCTGGGTTCAGTCCTCAGTACCAAAAAGTAAAGTGTTGTTTCTTTATTTTCATGTCGGAAAGAATTCAGTATCTAAGTAAGCCCAGGAACATTGTGACTTAGCTTATTCTTTAAAATTCACGTTCAGGCCGAGCATAAAGGTGCATGCCTGTAACCACAGTGGCTTGGGAGGCTGAGGCAGGAGGATTGTGAATTCAAGGTCAGCCTCAACAAACTTAGTGAGGTCTAAGCAATTTATCGAGAACTTATCTCTGAATTAAAAAAAAATAAAAAAGGTTCAATTCCTGGCCCGTCCCCTCCAAAAAAAAAAAAAAGAAAGAAAGAAAATATGTGTTCGGTAGGAGTTGTTTTGTAGAATGCATCAGATGTGTTAAATTTTTAGTCATGTCTCAGTAACTTCAGCAACAGTAGAATACTTCCAAAGATAGGATAGCTCAATATAGTAATGGTTAAAAAAAAAGAGAGAATTCCACCTTCTAATTTATCAAGTGTAGAATTTTTTTTAAAAAAATAGAAATATCCATATTTGTTTGCTTGAAAGGCTTCTGAGAAACGTAATAGTTTAATGGACTAACATCATTTCCAGATTTTTATGTAAATGAAGTGAAACTAGGAAAAGGATATGCACATACTCGTGCACACACATTTATTCTACAAGTCTCTTACCACCAAAAAAATAACACTTATTTTATCAGCCTTTGAAATCTTCCTTTTTTCAACATGGAAACTTAACCTTGGAAAATAGAGTAATTTTATTGAAGTTCATAAAGCAGGTTATAGTAGAACAGAAATCAAAAACCAATTTTTAAATCAAAATTTTTTTCTCATTCTCTTGGCTTTTTAAAAAAATTTTTCTCCTCTCCTCCCCTCGCTGAGAATTGAATCCAGGGCCTCTTGTCCTTGGCCATGTTATTTGCTGTGCTGTCTCCTTTCTGAAACCTCTCTATTTACCTTGGCTTCTGTTGCTATTGTATATATGTGATTCCTCCCGTATTTATGCTTGCTAGTTCTCATTTTTCCCCTTCATTTTTCCTATTGATTACCTTCTGTTTTTGCAATATTATATCTCAATAATTTCATCTACTTCTGAGTCTTCATGAGAATGATTCTCAACTATGTTTTAAGTCTCAGATCATATATAATTATCTGTTAGACATCTTTTATTTTCTGTTGTTGTTTTGTTTTGTGGTGCTGGGGATTAAACCCAGGGCCCTATGCATGTTAGGCAAATGCTCTACTGTTGAGCAATATCCCCAGCCTCAAGCAGACACTCTTCTTCTCCTTTTTTTTTGTTTAAATTTTTAACAAATACACTTTTTAGTTGCAGATGGACATAATATCTTTATTTATTTTTATGTGGTGCTGAAGATCTAACCCAGTACCTCACACATGCCAGGCAAGTGCTTTACCACTGAGCCCCAGCCCCAGCCCCACCACATACTCTTCTTGACTTTACTATAGGAGCCCACCTAGTTTGAAAACATGAACAAATATACATTAAACGGTTTCTTGCTTTCCCATTATAATATATGGTATGTTCATTATATTTCCCCTTATCAGCAGTGCATAGTTTAATGTACTATTTAAAATTGCAATGAATAAGGCACATTAAAGTAGCATTTCTATCAATTGCATTATATGCATCTTAGATGTGTTGCTTGAAAGTACTTTTGTTTGAATTTTACATTGAATAAAACTATTACTACATTCTTCCAGAGAAGTATTCAAGAAGGTTCCGGGCTGAGGTTGTGGCTCAGCGGTAGAGCACTCGCCTAGCATGTTCGAGGCCCTGGGTTCAATCCTCAGCACCACATAAAATAAATGAATAAATAAATAAGATAAAGATGATATTGTATCCAACTAAAAAAATAAATATTAAAAAAAAAGAAAGTTCCAGCTACTTAAAGTGCATATGTGCATGCACGCACACTTTTCTAAATGTATGGCCATCCTAAATTTCTATTATTGATACTATTATTCTTTTAAACATGTAGGTTAAAAAAAAAAAATCTTAGGGTCTCCCTCACTCCCTGAATCTAGCTTTTGGCCTAATCTTTTAAAATATTTCTTGCACATATATAGTTTTTCCATTCTACTGCCTATACATAATTGAAATTACCAGAACTTTTCTCTTGAATCATTCAGTGGTGTCCTAACTAATATTCTTTTTTTTTTTGTACTGGGGATTGAATCCAGGGATTCCTAGCCACATCCCCCATCCCTTTTTTATATTTTATTTAGAGACAGTGTCTTGCTGAGTTGCTCAGGGCCTCGCTAAGTTACTAAGGTTGGCTTTGAATTTGGGATCCTCTTGCCTCAGTCTTCCAAGCCATTGGGATACAGGCGTTCATCACCATACCTGGCCTAATCAGTATTCTTGTCTACATCTTCTTTGTTCAGTATGTATTACAATACAGCTCTGAATATATCACTGCCAATTTTAGAAACATTTAGTGGTGGTTCACCATTCCTCAGAGGTAGATGACATCTTAATTTTTGTTTTACAGTCTTTTGCAGCTTTTTCTAGTTCTCCCCCTCCAACACCTATTCCATGATTGTAAGGTGCTTGGAGCTTGATTCCACCTATTTATTTTTGTGTCCTTTATCTAGTTCAATAGCATGTGTAAAAGTATTGAAACAGCATTCTTAAACTGACATTAGAATGTTAGCTAAGAAAGATCACCATGATAAATACAATGGTAATATCCTTTAAAAGGAAAAGGAAAATTTGCTTTCTAACTTTGATAAATTTCTGGGAACATTCTGTACATAATAAAAGAAAAAGAATAGCCAGCATTTTCCAGAAAGCTAGTACGTTTGTAAGCACAATTGTCATTCTGTTTTGTTTCGTTTTGTTTTGTTTTTTTTTCCTTTACTAGTGAAGGACTAGCTACATTTTATGAAATTCTTATTTCCCCAGGTCAAAACAAAACGGTCGCCAAATTCTTCAGAAAATGCAGTGAGTAAAAAACAGGAAGATAGTTCTTCGATGAAGTCTCATAACCAAGAAATCACTGTTTTCTCCAGTTCTCCTCTTCCCCAACCCAATAGGCATCAAGAAATATGGTCTATCCTAGAGAATCTTTGGATTACAATATATCAAAACAGGTACTAAATTTCCAAGAATTTTTAAATTCTAGAGTTGTAAACTAGCTTTTTCTAGATTTTTCAATTATTATTATTGTTCATTGAATAGTTAGAATTTGGGTTTTGAGTTTAATGTACTAGATTGCCTTTTGTCAAATAGATTTGTGACAAATAGTGAACTTCGGGGCTGGGGTTGTGGCTTAGCGGTAGAGCGCTCCCCTTGTACGTGCGAGACCCTGGGTTTGATCCTCAGCACCACATACAAATAAATGAATATAATAAAGGTATAAAAAAAGAAAAAAAATCTTAAAAAAAACAGATAGTGAACTTCAGTGGGATATGTATATCAGAATTACCTAAAGACTTTAAAATGTGTGTGTGGGTGTGTGTGTGTATGCTGAAGCTGTATCCTTTGAAATTTTGATTCAGTAGGACTGAAGTGAAACTGAGCGTGCATTAAAAGAAAAACACTATGGGACTTGGGTTACGGCTCAGCAGTAAAGCGCTCGCCCTGCACGTGTAAGGCTCTGGGTTCGATCCTCAGCACCACATAAAAAATAAATAAATAAAATAAAGTTTTTTTAAAAATAGAGGAATAATTTATTAAAAAAAAAAAAAAAACACTAGGTGATTCAGACCTAAAACCTTGATGAGAAGCATAGCTTTGTGTGTGTGTGTGTGTGTGTGTTGTATGAATGTCAAAACTAGTGAAGACTCACCTAGATTGGCTAAACAAGTAAATTTAAAAGTAAAATAAAATAGTGAATTTTATGTTGTGTGTATTTTACCATAGTTATACTTTGGAAAGCACTGTAAAGTAGGGAGAAAATTTCCTTTAATGCTACTACCTAAAGGCTACCATAGTTAACCTTGTTAATTTATTATGTATACTCTGTTTTGGTTTTAGGCACTTTAATTTCTTTCGGGCTTCCATAGCAAATTACCATTAAGTGAGTGGCTTAGTATAACAGAAATTTATTTGCTCACAGTTCTGGATGCCAACATTGAAAATCCAAGTATCTGGCTGAGTTAATTCTGGAAGTTCTGAGGGAGAATCTATTCTATTCATTTCTCCAGTCTTCTAGTGTTTGGCAGGAGTGCTTGCCTTGTAGATGTTTCACTCCAATCTCTGTCTTTGTTTTTACAGAGGGTTAGGGCCAGCCTACTCTAATCTAGCCTTCACTTTAAATTAACTAATTATATCTGTAAAGACCTTATTTCAAATAAAGTCACATTCTGAGGTTCTAGGTAAATATGAATTTTGGGAGAACACCATTGTAATCCAGTATTCCCTGTTTGTTTTAATTTTTTTTCAAAACAGTTGTTATATTATTTAAGTAAGTTTTCTGTATTTTAATTTTTCTATTTTATACATGGCATGAGCAGAGCAACATCTTAGCAGTTTGGTATTTCATCAAGTGGTTGATTCACTATTTGCTTAACACTTTTTATAATGATAATGTTGGACATTTAGGGTATTACTAATTGTTGGCTAATTGTGAATAACTATGATAAATTTCTAGAAGTGAAGTTAACTAGGACAGACTGCCAGTTTCAACAGATATGTAATCTGATATCTATTTTCTTCATCCTTATGTTCTTAGTGACTTAATGGAGGTTGATAATATTCCTGCTTCTCATATTTTGTGGTCTCTTAGAATGAAACATTATTCACATAGTTTTTACAGTGTTACTTTAGATTAGCTCTGTATAGTGTCTGACCTAGATCCCTTGCATAAATGTCAGCCCAGATTTTCACATGTCACCATATTTTATTTCTAACAAATAATCTGAATTATGAGAAATTTATATTATTACTTTATTTTAAACACTGCAAGTGGAAATTCTTGAATTACTTAAATGAATATGAATTAAGTATCTTTTTTTTAAAAAATTTTAGTACAGATGTGTTTCAAAGATTGGGCTCAAATTCAACTCTGACTACTTCAAAAATAGCATCTTTTGAGGAAGCATTTATATATCTTCAAAAGTTAATGGCAGCAGTGAAGGATATTCTTGAAGGAATACAGAGGTAAACTATATTAATTTTATGTTTCATTTATGTATTATGTTTCTCTTTTCTGGGTTATCAGACTTCTTGAGTTGCTTGTATTCTTCTTCTAGCATATTTTATAAACTGATGGCTTTTAGATTCAACTTCTTCCTCCACTACAGCAAATCCCTGTTTCTAGTTTGGACCTCAGAATGTTTGCACCTTTTTCCTTCCTAGGAAAACATGTGTAAGATTGTTAGCTTCATGATGAATTTTATATTCTTTATTATATAACTATTTCCTAGAATAGTACCAGATACCTAGTGGACAATCAATATATTAAGGTAATTGTCATTGCACTTTTTTTGTTCCACAGATATTCTATTAATTTGATTTAAAGGAGTGCTAATCTAAGTAGAAAAATGTCAACTTTTTGGCAGCTTCATTGCACTTTTAAAACAAATATGTTAGTATTTTTTAATGTGGTTAATTCTTCCAATACATTTTCTCAGTATGACAAACTGAAATAGTGTGAGAAGCAACTAGTTTTCTGATGGCTGAAACTAGAAACAGTACCAAACTCTATTTTACCACATTTTTTCCTATATATACATACTTATCAGGATGTTTAATTTACAAATTAGGCACACCAAAATATTAACGATGCTAACTAGTAATAAAATAATTGTCAGAATATATTGATATAAAGGGTTATGTGTAGTCTCTCTTTCACTCTGAAAATACATTATGTATTATTGTGTGTTTTCATATTTTTTTTAATTTTTAAAAGTTTTTTAGTTGTAGTTGGACACAATACCTTTTTTAAAATTTATTTAGTTTTATATACTGCTGAGGATCAAACCCAGTATCTCACACATGCTAGGCAAGCACTTTACCACTGAATTACAGATCCAGCCCTCATACTGTGTTTTTGGACCACAGTTGACCTTGAATAACAAACTGTGGAAAGTGAAACCATGGACAAAGGGGTACTGCTGTTGACAACAGTCAAGAGCTGTTAGTATTTCAATAGGGATATACGCTGTAGCGGAGAGACAAGGTTTGGCAAAAGATGAAACTGAATCAGAGTTTGAGGAGAATGTCTCACAGACCAAGGAGAGCAGTTCTACTTTTTTTAAAATTTTTTTATTTTTTAGTTGTAGATGGACACAATACCTTTATTTATTTATTTTTATGTGATGTGGAGGGTTGAACCCAGTGCCTCATGAATGCTAGGCAAACACTCTACCACTGAGCCACAGCCCCGTCTTAGAGCAGTTCCTCTTTATCCTCTAGGCTAGTAATTCTCATACATTGAGAGTGCTAAATTATGCCAGGACAGAAGTGTTTCTGGTCCAAAAAGCTTTAGAAATATTGCATACTATACTACCCTCTTTGAAAATCACTATACATGCATGTTAATAGCTTTCAAAGTTATGTGGGTAGATCCTTTCAATTTTATTGCTTGGTTAATTGCAGTACTGGGGATTGAACCCAGGACCTTGCACATACTAGGCAAGCTCTCTACCTTCCCCCGTTTCAATTTTAGAATTTTTAAAACACATTGATCCTTGGGTCCCTCGTCCTGGAGATTCTGATGTAATTGATCTGAGATGTGCTGGTTAACAAGATTTTGAAAATTTCTTCAGGGGATTCTAATGTATTAGCAAGGTTGAGAACCACTATCCAATATGTTATCCACTGTTTCTCAAAGTGTGGTCTCTCCTATACTTTCATTAAAAGAACCGATTCTCAAGCTCTCCCAGATGTACTGAATCAAAAACTCTAGGCATGGGAACTAGCTTCTGTGTCCTCCAGGTGATTCTGTACACACTAAAGCATTACTAGTCTAGGTGGTTTTCCGACTTGTGGCAGATTATGATTAGCTGGGAGGTTTTTTTTTTGTTTTGTTTTTTATAATAGTGGTTGGGCCCTCCTTTACATGTATTAAATCTGAAACTCAAGAGTGGACTAGGCATATGCATTTCTTCCCCCCACCCCAATTTTTTAGTTGTAGGTGGACACAGTACTTTTATTTTATTTATTTATTTTTGTGTGGTGCTAAGAATTGAACTCACACATGATGGGCAAGGGCTCTACTACTGAGCTACAACCCCAGCCCCTAGGCATAGGCATTTCTACCAACTCTCCAAGTGATGCTGTGGAGACAGGGTTGAGAAGGTATAGCATGTACTTACATAAACTGTTATCAAAAAGAAAGAATTACATGAATTATAAGGCTGATACAATGATGTTATCCCAGGGATAAGTAACATTGGTGGTTTGGCTATTTTTTAACATGTGAACTGGCATTAAAGCTGTTTTGAGCCTCAGGTTTCATCTATAAAATAGGCATAATAACATCTTCCTAGAGCATTTTAGGATTATTGTGCTTTGAAATTACATTGTTGGAATTAATAACCAAACAAGTAATTCTCATATTGTTTGTACAGGAACCTGTCAAAAATGCAAAGTTCTAGGTTTTACCCTAGACTTATTGAAATAAAAATACCTGCAAATATTTTGTACATCAGGGAAGTTGTATTTTTTTAAATATTTTTTTAGTTGTAGATGGACACAGTATATTTTAATGTGGTGCTGAGGATTATTAAACCCAGTGTTTCACGCATGCTAAGCAAGAACTCTACCACTGAGCCACAACCCCAGCCCAGGGAAGTTGTATTTTTAACAAGGCTTCCCTGGGGTGAGCAGGGGGGCATGAGATTTGTATGCAGGTGGTGAAGGACCACATTTATAGAAGCTGTTGCGTCATAACCTGTTTTCTCCAGAGTTACCAGCAGGGAGTGTTGTGAATGAGAAAGTTTGCTCATCTTACTGATTCAAAAGGAAAGTACTAAAATTAGTTATTTTTTTTAACTCTTCAGACAGTAGGCATGTAAATAAAAAAATAATAGAAGTTAATAATTATTTACCAAGTGTGTAGGTAGTGCTTAAAATCTTTCAGGAAACAGAATCATTAAATCAAAATAAACACAGTTCAAAAAATTTATTTTGGCTAAATATGGATGTATTTAAAATTTGAGATTGAAAAGTACATTTAACTTTGTAATAACTGAAAATTCATTAGCATTTTTGTGCTTATTAAAATGGCATAGTTTTGTTTGATTTTGGGATACATGCTCAGTGAATATATGTCAGTTGTATTTCCTTTGATCTTAAAAATAGTAGATCGTATGTAGTATTATATTGGGACTTAGTGAGAAAGCAAATTGTTAAGCAGGTCTTTCAGTTAAAAAAGTGAGTGAAAATATATTTGGTAAACTGAGAGCTTAGGATTTGTTTTAGTCAGTTTTTTTTTTTTTTTTTGGTGGGGGGCACTGTGACCAAAAGACCTGACTAGAACACTTTCAGAGGAGGAAAAGTTTGTTTGGCACTACAGTTTCAGAGGTCTCAGTCAACCCATTGTTTTGGGCCCAAGATGAGTCAGAACATCATGGCGAAAGGGTGTGGAGGAGGAAAGCAGCTCAGGACATGGCAACCAGGAAACAAGAGAAAGCTCTGCTCACCAGGGACAAAATATAAACTCAAGAGGCACACCCCCAGTGACCTACCATTTCCAAACACAACCTACCTACCTTCAGTTACCACCCAGTTAATCCCTATCAGGGGATTAATTCACTGTTTGGGTTATAACGCTCATCATCCTTGCGTTGTCTCATTCTTGAGATTTAGTGAACACCTCATATCCATATCCTGGCAGGGTTCCAGTTCAGATTTATCCCTTTGTATCTGATTTTGGGCATGTAGTTCTTCCCTTTTTATATGAGAATCCTGATGCCTTCTGTAGGGGAATGTATGAGGTGATGTATGTGAAAATACTTTTAAATTATATTTATAGCTATTAGTTTTATTTTTTCCTCTTAGAGCTTGTATGTTTAATTTGAAATGTTTAAATTATATTTCAGTTTAAATTAAATTATAAACATGATTGTGGTAAGATTGAAAAGCTGGGGATACAGCTCAGTTGGTAGAGTGCTTGCCTCACATGCACAAGGCCCTGGGTTCAATAACCAACACCACCAAAAAAAAAAAAAAGATTGAAAATACTGGTGGATCAGAGTTGTCTATAGAGTTACTTATACAGTTGGGAACAGAACGTCTAATTTTATAAAGCTTAAAAAAGGGTGGGGATATTGTTGATTCCTATGCTTCCTAAAATTTTTTGGGTAGGAGAGGAAACTTAATTAGTTTAATTACAGTTGATTTAGAAATTACTTCCATTTCTTCTTTTCCTTTTACAGAGGATTAATGTGCGTACTTTTGTTAATGGTTTTCTAATCTAAACACCAAAGAATATTGGGGGCAATGTAGACAGGTTTGTTTTTTTTTTTCCTCTACGTAAATGAAAGTGTTTTAAGATTTATTTTTTTAGATTTGTGCTGTCTACTACCAATTTATATTTTAGTAAACTTATGTCTGGATTGATCAAGTAACTCTTAAAACCATAGAAGCCTTTTGCTTATTATATAAAGTTTCATTTAGAATGAAACAAAAAATTGGAGAATTGAATCACAGATTCTAAAAATAAGGAAGGTCTGTTATTTGTGCCTTTATCCAAAACATTTAATGCCTGCATGTGTTTTGTGATTAAACTAGACAGCTTCATAAAATTAACAGAAGAGGTCTTTTAATCCATCTCTGAGGGGCATTATAAATATGTGCAGCTTTGCCTTGAAAGCTATTGCTCAAAGCAACAACGTAAGTATTTTAGGTATATTTTTTGTCCATGAAGTAAATGATGAGCTTCCTAGTTTAGAGGCTAAGGGAAGAAGGAAGTGTAAGGGTGGGAAATTGCAACCTGCCTAGGTTTCTGTAATGTGTTTGTTTTACCTTTATAAGGTTGAAATTATTTAAAAAATCAGCAGTTTGAATAAAAAATAAATAAATATACAATATGCCTAAGTTTGTTTGACAAAAATGCAGCTTTAAAAATTAAACCAATGTCAGGAACTCTTAGATTTCTAACTCAGGTAGCTTTAGATGAAGTGTTTGAAATAATCTTTTCTTAGTTTCACATT